AACAATATAATGGAGTAAACAATATAATGGAGTAAACAATATAATGGAGTCAACAATATAATGGAGTCAACAATATAATGGAGTAAACAATATAATGGAGTCAACAATATAATGGAGTAAACAATATAATGGAGTCAACAATATAATGGAGTCAAGAATATAATGGAGTCAACAATATAATGGAGTCAACAATATAATGGAGTCAACAATATAATAGTCAGCAATATAATGGACTAAACAATATAATGGAGTGCCCCCATTAGCCGGAGGGGGCGCTGCTGGGGGTGGCGGGGGTGGACGTGCCCGTGGGGGAGCTGGACGCGGCGACCTTCACGGAGGCGCTGGGCATCTGCGGGTACTTCTTCCTGGGTACCACCAACGGGTACCTCTCCCTGCACCCCCGCCTCCGGGGGCACCACCTCTACCTCCAGGTACTGACGCGTGGTACCGGCATGGTACCGGCATGGTACCGTCAAGGTGCTGTCATGGTACCAGCATGTTACCACATCTTTTTCAAATATTTTTCGAAAGTGTGAATTTAATCGGAGAATATCAAAAAAATTGAAAGCAACTTTACAAGTGCAAATTTTAATGTTAATTAAATAAGTGCAGTGACGTGCTTATATAATATTTATTAACTTATTTATTATTTATTGAGATATTAGGTTGTTCATTGAATTAACAGTTGCCACCTCCCCCCCCCAGGACCCCCCACACCGCGATCTCCTCGAGGTCGAGTGGCCCAACCACGGCCTGGAGAAGGTACGACATCGTAGCGCTTTTACGACATACTAGCGCTCAGTTTACGACATACTAGCGCTCAGCTATGTGTACCACTCACCACTAACGCGTACCACTCACCACTCCCTCGTACCACTCACCACTCCCTCGTACCACTCACCACTCCCTCGTACCACTCACCACTCCCTCGTACCACTCACCACTCCCTCGTACCACTCAACACTCCTTGGTACCAATCGCCAGGTTCAGCGCATGATGGTGAAGCGCAAGGAGAAGCATGCGATGGTACCACACGAGTACCAGCAGACGGACGCGCGTCACGTGATGGTGGTACCTGCTAACTTCACCTACTGGCTGGTACCTGTCAATGGTACCTCGCACAGGTAAGTGGTAGTAAGATTGGTACCTCTGAGTAACGTGGTTTGTGATGTCCTTGATAATGATGATACCATTATTACCATGACATATACTGTACTAGGTATCATTACCATTACCCGTACCATGCTAGGTATCATTACCATTACCCGTACCATGCTAGGTATCATTACCATTACCCGTACCATGCTAGGTATCATTACAAGTACCATGCTAGGTATCACTACCTGTACCATGCTAGGCACCATTACAAGTACCATCATTCTCATGGTGCAGCCTCGGTATGGTGATCCGCAACAACGGCCCCCGCCACATCAGCGTCCCCCCTTCCCCCGCACCCGGCTTCACCTTCCACCTCCCCACCACCGCCGTCCCCTCCTGGCTGCTGCGTGAGTATCTGTGACGACCCCAACACCTGGGGCTTGTCTTTCCAAGGACCCCAACCCCTGGGGGCTAGTCACGGGGGCGAAACCGCACGCCCCCGTGACTATTGAATTAACCCTGGAGCTAAAGCCCACCTTCGGCATGCAATATATTTTGTGACTTTGGCACCTACACTGTTAAAAAAAAACGTAAAAAACGGTCTTACCGGTGTTATAGTGACCGGTCGCTCCGTGAAAATAAACCGTTTTGCCGTTTTTGTCAGATGTTGTACGGTTTTCTATTGTTAAATTGGAACAAAACCGCCACATGGTGTTCTTTTCACGTGCCGGACGGCCACTGAAACGCCGGTTATTCTGTTTAACGACGATTTTTCGAACAGTGTATGAAGTTGTGTTTCATTGGCACTTCTCACCCATGCAACTCGAAATCAGCAATGAGTGAAATTAAAAGCTACTACTCCTAATAAACTTCGGTCGTCATGCCGTACTTCGCTGAATTTAACTCCATACCTTTTACTTCTTGCACATGCCGTAAGTTTTAGGGTACGAAGACCGCGCTCGATTCCCTTAAATGTGGCTGGAAACTCGCTCAATGCAGTCGAGTCTTCATGGATGTGTAACCCTAGCACCCAGGCTCTGCCTCCACACTTGTTCCGACTCTCCACCTTGCTGCAGACAATGACCGGCCCTGTCTAATGACAGGGCCTAACCGGAGGTTAAGTCCGGTTAGGATTTTTTAGGTGGAGGGTCGAGGCAAGTGAGGAGGTAGGGCGGACATACTAGGGCTTCATGTCTATAAGGACGGGACGGGCTTAAGCAGTGATTGTGTCCAGAACGTTCTATGACATTGGGTGTTCTTTTTCTAAAGCCGTGAATGGGGCTTGGCTGCAAGGAATAGAGTATGTTATAATATCGAGGAAAAGGCCACGGCCGTTTTCTTAGCGGGGTGCTTCTCTAGATCTCGCTGGTTCAATTCCACGAAAGAAAATTGTATATTCCTGCACATCATCACACAGGCTATTTCCAGTGCTCACATAGACGTTATCTTAGGCTTCATCTTCATCGGACGAAACGTTAGGATCGCCTTTAAATCCACCAGAGCAGCTGCATACAAAGTGTTCCTTCACCCCATACTGGGTGGACCCTATACTGGGGTCCACCCATGCAGCAGCCTCTAGGATCCTCATCCTGCAGAAGATAGTGCATCTCTTGAAAAATTGCAACGTATATGGAGCAGCACGGTGGGTCTCGCATCGTTTCCGTAAGGCATCCAGTGTAGAGAACTTGCTTCGTGACCGGGATGACTCATGGTTGAACTAGTATTATAAGGTTGACCCATCAGAAGCCCATTTTTGCGGTTGTAGTTAGTTGTTCGCATGTGACGTCACTGATCTCAGTGACGTCACGGGCATTAACCAATCACCTAAATGCGATCAAACCAGTCAGCCAATCAGGCATGGGAATGACGGGTTTGTTTACGTTTCTTGATCTACGTGACGTAACAGGAAAGCTGAACTGAAAGACGTAACTTATCGTGGGTCAACCTTATATAGTTCAACCATGGGGATGGCCAATGTTGCGATACAAGCGAAGGCGATCTAGGCCCCCTTGCTTTACAAGGTACACAACAACTTTGTCAACATCATCCACCTCCACGCCATCAACTGCTCCATTCAGAATAAAAAAAATTCTGAAAATTTATATAGAATACAATAATAACTTTAAAAAGTGTAGCGGATTCACACGCATCCACATCTTTTTAAATCGGATGGCCCTCAAATTTCAATAAACCGCCGCTACAATTTGCCCCAGCTTCCATGATATGCATTCTAAATTTTAATTCATTCGTAATATATTTCATTTGAATGATTTTCGTTAAACCTTGTGTCAAAAAATTTTCAGAGAGTTGAAAATCTTATTAATAATAAATAATTTTCCGAATGTTAACTAGCATGCGGTGCTGGTCAATAACATCAAAAACGGTTATTTCTTCATGAATTAATAAGCTATTCCTGCCTGAATTTTGTTCATCCCTCATTCATTAATACAGTTGTGCACGGTGCGCATCAGCGTACGTCGGAATGACGTCGTATAATTTCTACAAAGTGGTTTTCGAATACCAGAGCCAACTTTGGTTCCTCGGATTGATAGATTTTGGAATCGCTGTATATTTTTTAACTGAAACCTTGCGCAGTTCTTATGCACCTCCAAATGTTAATCGATCGGTTTTAATCCCTTTTATTCTGCTATAGTTTTTGTGTAAATTTGGCATTCACTTCGATTGTACTTGGTTCCATTCATTAGAAAATTTTGTTGAACTGATAATGGTCACCGAAATATCTCCGATGCAGATATGGTGAATTTGCTTGCCATTTTCTCTGCATTCAAATTCTTACTTGAGATAATAATGTTTTCCTGATGCTACGCAGCCACGGTTGCAGCTGCCACGCCACAATCAACTGCTACATCAGATGCACCCGGTCCATCTGGTGCCTCTGGTCCAGCTGGTGCACCTGGCCCAGCTGATGCATCTGGTGCACCAAATGCATCTGGTCCAGCTGAAGCACCTGGTCCAGCTGCCGCCCAGCTGCCAGGTCTAGTCTGGGCCAGCCGGTACACTGAGCCGCTGGTGCGGTTGTGGAGCAATGACGCGGCCTCCACCGCGGTTGACCTGCGGGTTATCTTCACCCGCTTCGGCTTGACCCGCTACGTCGCTACTGGGTAAAGTAACCGCATTTCCCTGCACCGCAACCACATTTCACTTCACCATCTCACTTCATTCATCTGTTGATGAATTTATTCCGGTCATTTTCGCGCCAATTCCTTCATTTTCGTCATGGAAAAAAGAAGCAATAATTCAGCATTAAAATATTCCAGTTAATATCTGACCTGCATCTTCATTCCCCGCCTCCATTATCATTACTCTCCATTTTCCCCCCCTCCCTCATCATCCCCCGTCCCCCCCAGGAGTGGGGGGCAGTTCCCCACGTGGCTGGAGTCGTGGCTAGACCCCCGGCACAACCCCAGCCTCAAACGCGCCGAGTTCGGGGAGGAGTTGAGCGTCTTCCCCACACCGGGGGGCGCCCTCGTCACGCTCCCCATCACGCACAAGGGGCTCGTCACCGCCAGTGGGTAGTGGGGAGAGGGAGGTGGGGAAGGGTGGGGAAGGATGGGTGAGTGAATGGGGGAAATTTGGGTGGGTGATGGGGGTGGGGATAGGGAAAGGTGGGAGGTGAGTGATGGGGAGAGAGCATGGGGAAGGGTGGGTGGGTGATGGGAAATGAGGATGGGGGCGACGTGGGCACGTGCTACGGGCTGCCTCACGTACCTAACTAAGCACGCGTACATCTCGTGCCCTAACTACGTTCCTCATACCTCACGTGCAGCTGTCGGGATGCACGTGACACGTGCAGCGCTACGTGCGGCGGTCGCGTCACACCTCACACGTGACCGGGCCCCACGTGACCGTGCCCCACGTGATGACGCCATACCGCACGTAGCTTCCCTCCTCATCGACGATGGCGGCTTCGTCATCACGTCGCAGATCAAGCAGGTACGTGGGCACGAGGTTCTGGGGTACGTGAGCACGAGGTTCTGGGGTACGTGGGCACGAGGTTCTGGGGCACGTGAGCACGAGGTTCTGGGGTACGTGGGCACGAGGTTCTGGGGTACTTGGGCAAGAGATTCTGGGGTACGTGGGCAAGAGGTTCTGGGGTACGTGGACACGAGGTTCTGGGGTACGTGGGCAAGAGGTTCTGGGGTTCGTCGGCACGAGGTTCTGGGGTACGTGGGCACGAGGTTCTTGGGCACGTGGGCACGAGGTTCTGGGGTACGTGGGCGCGAGGTTCTAGGGCACGTGGGCACGAGGTTCTGGGGTACGTGTAAGGCGGTCATAAGGCTAGGCCTACATATCAAATATCTTGCAAAGCGCATAAATCATAATTAAATTATCCTGCTTAGGTTGATAGGATTAAGGCAAGGAAATTCATTCAGAATAATGCATTTAGTGAATATCCTACCCAAACTTAGAGTGAAAATCCAACCCCAATATACGCACGCACTCATCGTGAGTGACAAGCGCTCGATGTGTCGCGCAGTTTCCAGAAAAATCGAAATTTTGTAAATTGATATGAAATCTGGAAATTAAATCAGGGCAAGCGGAGGTTGTAGAGTGGAGTATGGATATTTGAATTTGATGAAAAAAAAAAGAGGTAAAATAGGACCCAACGTAATGTGCAGACCACGGCCCCCCTCGGTGTAAGGAATAGGAGTCCTACACGCGGTTAACTGGTCCTTATCTGAGCCCGAGACGCCCGCTTCACTCAGACCAATAAGTGACTTTTGTCCTAATATTGTCGCTTTTCGGTTTCGTGTCGGTTATCCAGAACCACTTGGACCCAGAAGAAAGACGTACTGTATCAGTACTACGTGGAGCACCTTTTGGACAATATTACCCCGTTCAGTACTCTGAGTGTCCACATAGGTTGGTCCCAGTCACTCTTGTCTTGTCTCCGTTCATTCAGAAAAATAAGGGAGACCTTGTCCGCACTTTTATGCACTTTTTGTCATTGCATGTGTGGGTCACCCTGGCCCAGTTTGGACCGGCATACAGGCGTGTTACACCCAAAGCCCCTGGCACGTTGGGGTTATGGAACCCAAAGCCCCTGGCACGTTGGGGTTATGGAACCCAAAGCCCCTGGCACGTTGGGTTTCTGGAACCCAAAGCCCCTGGCACGTTGGGGTTCTGGAACCCAAAGCCCCTGGCACGTTGGGGTTCTGGAACCCAAAGCCCCTGGCACGTTGGGGTTATGGAACCCAAAGCCCCTGGCACGTTGGGTTTCTGGAACCCAAAGCCCCTGGCACGTTGGGGTTATGGAACCCAAAGCAACCGTCACGTTGGGGTTCTGGAACCCAAAGCCCCTGGCACTTTGGGGTTCTGGAACCCAAAGCCCCTGGCGCGTTGGGGTTATGGAACCCAAAGCAACCGGCACGTTGGGGTTCTGGAATCCAAAGCCTCTGGCGCGTTGATGTTATGGAACCCAAAGCAACCGGCACGTTGGGGTTCTGGAACCCAAAGCCCCCGGCACTGGCACGTTGGGGTTCAAGAGAACGCGTGGAGTCGCCAGTGTTCGCGTTTATCCTGGTTGAAGAATAATGGGGCATGGACAGACTGATAAATTAAATAAGCTTATAGGTAGTAATTACCAGGAACCTAACAATTTCAAGATAAACGAATTACATATGGCGTCAAAATTTATCAGTATTCAATCTGAATCAAGTTTTAACTTATATATTTAAGCTCATCTGAAGAAGTTGTCCACACGACATCGAGGAATTTATAAAGGGAATTTGTTGATCGAACATCAATATGACAATACTATCGTGACACTCAATAAATAAATTGTACCTATAACTAAGTTAAATATACTTACATAATTTCGTAATAGATGAGTTTTGAGAGTTGACAAAGTGGCGTGAGCGACACGGACGCCTCAAGCTCACATTTTTTTAATTAGTTAAAGCAAATCGGCAAAAGCCATCATTAATAAATAATTTTTTATGTTCGTTATCCTTCAAGAAGTGTATAAGTTAATGGATTTTATAGTAACTCAATATCTAATGGTTTTACCTGAAGCATAACACGTGATCAGCATGTGGACATATTGCTCCACAATCGGCCTAATGTACAGAGAGAGATAGGCCTATACGGCCTCCCTCTGTATATATACAGTGTTGCTGCTGCCCACATCTGGGTAGTGCTGCTGCCCACATCTGGGTAGTGCTGCTGCCCACATCTGGGTAGTGCTGCTGCCCACATCTGGGTTGTGCTGCCCACATCTGGGTAGTGCTGCCCACATCTGGGTAGTGCTGCTCACGTCATGGTGATCTTAGCGTCACTTATGTCACTAGTAGTGCCACTAGTTACGCCTGGTCACTAGCATGGACCATGTCACTAGTGGCACTAGTTACCCCTGGTGTGCAGTTGGCCCCCGGGCAGTTCCTGGGGGCGGGGGCGGGGGGGCGCGTCCTCCTCGACCGTCTCGTCATGAGCAACGTCTACACGCACATCACCTACGTCGACTACCAGGTGATGTGTGGTGATGTGTGATGATGTGTGGTGATGTGTGGTGTGTGGTGATGTGTGGTGTGTGTTGATGTGTGGTGATTTGTGGTGTGTGGTGATGTGTGATGTGTGGTGATTTGTTGTGGTGACGTGTGGTGATGTGTGGTGTGTGGTGATGTGTGATGTGTGGTGATGTGTGGTGTGTGGTGATGTGTGGTGACGTGTGGGAATGTGTGGTGATGTGTGATGTGTGGTGATGTGTGATGTGATGTGATGTGTGATATGATGTGTGTGGTGATGTGTGATGCGTGGTGATGTGTGATGTGTGGTGTGTGGTGATGTGTAGTGTGTGGTGATGTGTGATGTGTGGTGATGTGTAGTGTGTGGTGATGTGTGATGTGTGGTGCGTGGTGATGTGTGGTGATGTGTGGTGCGTGGTGATGTGTGGTGATGTGTGATGTGTGGTGATGTGTAGTGTGTGGTGATGTGTGATGCGTGGTGATGTGTGATGTGTGGTGCGTGGTGATGTGTGATGTGTGGTGCGTGGTGATGTGTGGTGATGTGTGATGCGTGGTGATGTGTGATGTGTGACCTTATGATGAGTTCAGGACGTCGTAGTCCCCGGTCACGCTGATTGGCCGTGTTCGACGTCCTCCGTCTCCGAGTCGTCGTCGGATGTGACGTTGGACGTGTTCCGTCTATTAGCCCTCATTTGGGCCACCTGATGCAAGATGGTGATGTTTGGTAACGTGTGGTGATGTGTCATGACGTATGGTGAAAAATTTTAACTTCCAATATTATTTTATATAAAAAATATCCTTATAAATAATTGTATAAGGTTTAATCTAAATTTACCAAGAATTTAATTTGTGTATCGCATTTCTGTTGCTCTCTTTCTCATGCTAATGAATGATTTTAGGCTTCACAGTTAATTACTTCGTTGCTATCATTACAATTATCATCCCCCCCAGGCGGTGTGTGGACCCCCTCCTCCCCCGCCCCCCGTGGTGGTGAGTGCAGGAGGGGGCCTGCGCCCGCCCCTCCCCACCCCCTCCATAGGCCTCCTCCTCTCCAGCACCTCCGACCTGCTGGCCTACCTCAGCCACGCCTACTACAGCCTGCTCGCGTGAGCCTACACTTGCACCTATACGTGCACTTACACGTGCCTACGTGATTTACATGTGTCTATGAGCATCTACAAGATGTGTGGGTGATGTGGTGTGAGGTGATGTGGTGTGAGGGTGATGTGGTGTGAGGTGATGTGGTGTGAGGGTAATGTGGTGTGAGGGTGATGTGGTGTGAGGTGATGTGGTGTGAGGTGGTGTGGTGTAAGTGTGATGTAGGATTGGGTGATGTGGTGTGAGGTGATGTGGTGTGAGGGTGATGTGGTGTGAGAGTGATGTGGTGTGAGGTGATGTGGTGTAACTGTGATGTAGGATTGGGTGGTGTGGTGTGAGGGTGATGTGGTGTCAGGGTGATGTGGTGTGAGGTGATGTGGTGTAAGGTTGATGTAGGATTGGGTGGTGTGGTGTGTGGGTGATGTGGCGTGAGGGTGACGTGGTGTGAGGGTGATGTGGTGTAAGAGTGATATGGCGTGAGGGTGATATGGTGTAAGATTGATGTGGTGCACATGTAAACACCACATCACCGTGCGCGTTCACGCCAACCTCTCATTTCTTCCTTGATTTCCCCCATCAGGCTGTTGCTGGGGGTGTGGGCTCCCGTAGCCTCCCCCCTCACGGAGTTCGGCTTCACTCCCTACACTTCGGGGAACCGCAAGCTTTGCGCCCTGCAGCGCGTCCTCTACACTTGGGGCAGCAACACGACCGCCATCGTGCACGACAACTGCAGCAACGACCGCGGCGAGGTAACCACGCCCCTTGTGCCACACGCGTCTGCCAGAAGCGCGACACTTGCCAGTGATGCACCTGCCAGACGCACGACACTTGCCAGTGATGCGTCTGCCAGAAGCGCGATACTTGCCAGTGATGCGCCTGCCAGACGCACGACATTTGCCAGTGATGCATCTGCCAGACGCACGACACTTGTCAGTGATGCACCTGCCAGACGCACGACACTTGCCAGTGATGCACCTGCCAGACGCACGACACTTGCCAGTGATGCGTCTGCCAGACATGCGACACTTGCCTTCACGCGCCTGCCAGACGCACGACACTATCACACGCCTGCCAGACGCGCGACACTTGCTAGTGATCGCCTGCCAGACGCACGACACTTGCCAGTGATGCGCCTGCCAGACGCACGACACTTGCCTTCAAACGCGCGACACTTGCTAGTGATCGCCTGCCAGACGCACGAAGCTTGCCAGTGATGCGCCTGCCAGACGCACGACACTTGCTAGTGATCGCCTGCCAGACGCACGAAACTTGCCAGTGATGCGCCTGCCAGACGCACGACACTTGCCTTCACGCGCCTGCCAGACGCACGGCACTTGCCAGTGATGCGCCTGCCAGACGCACGATAATTGCCAGTGATGCGTCTGCCAGAAGCGCGACACTTGCCTTTACGCGCCTGCCAGACGCACGACACTTGCCAGCGATGTGCCTGCCAGACGCACGACACTTGCCAGTGATGCACCTGCCAGACGCGCGACACTTGCCAGTGATGCGCCTGCCAGACGCGTAACGTATTCTGGTGCCGACACTTTTCAGAAACACGTACACTCTTGAACAATTACAACTTTCATATATCTACCGCCACTACTTACCGTGCTCCTGGCCTCGTGTATAGGCACTACTGGCCACGGTAGGACACAGAAACCCTTAATACTAGGCAAGCATGACTATAATTAATTGCTTTTAGAATTCAAAAGTTATACTGGCCGCCACTATTGAACAAACATCTTTACTGACACTCTTCAGTGACTCTTATACTATAACTGATACGGTATTATATTTTTCTGAGCTCATCGTTTGTTACTTAACGCATACTTTTGTACTTCACTCACAAGTTAGTTGTTTTCTCCCACGATTTCAATAACGAAATGATTGAAAAACTATAGAATTGGTGATGAAGTGTGATGATGACCACCACATATGTTGCAGATCCTCGCTAGCCGCATTGCCGAGAGCAACATGTTGCTGGTGCAACTCAGCGGCTGTATTGTGGAGCGTTCCCTCGCCACACACGCCACACACGGTATGTGTAATGTGTAGTCTCCCTCGCCACACACGGTATGTGTAATGTGTAGTCTCCCTCGCCACACACGGTATGTGTAATGTGTAGTCTCCCTCGCCACACACGGTATGTGNTCTAGATGTGTATAAGAGACGTGTGTAGTCTCCCTCGCCACACACGGGATGTGTAGTGTGTAGTCTCCCTCGCCACACACGGGATGTATAGTGTGTAGTCTCCCTCGCCACACACGGTATGTATAGTGTGTAGTCTCCCTCGCCACACACGGTATGTGTAGTGTGTAGTTTCAAAGTATGAACGTTCGCTGTGTATCTCCGTGAGTGGAGCACGCAATATATACTCACACTGTGTGATGTCACGCAATGTACACTCATTATCTTATGTCACAAGTATACATGTGTTCATATCTTATGTCACGAGTATCCAGGTATCACTATCCTGTGTCGTGTTTGACAAATCCCTACAAAGAACGAAATTAATAACTAATAAAATAATAAGTTTGTAACAAAACTTGCATGTAACGCTATCAACTCAATCCTTTATTGAAGGGTTCGACCCCATCTCGAACACAACCCTGGTGGACTCGAGCGGTAATTTCGCAGAAGAAGGCGCCCTTCCTTCAGACGACGAGGAGGTGGAGGACGAGGAGGAGAAGGACGAGGAGCTGACGTTCAACGCGTCTTTTGAGGCCAACAACGTCATGTACCTCCCGCGCGACGCCGTGGAAGTCAAACGTAGCTGCTGCAAAGTGCGCTACGTCAGGCAGCGCGGTGCCTCCTGCACCCCCGACGTGAGTGTGGGACTGTGGGTGGGGGTGAGGTGCGCTACGTCAGGCAGCGCGGTGCCTCCTGCACCCCCGACGTGAGTGGGGGTGGGGGTGAGGTGCGATGTATGGCTGTTAGTAGATAACCGTCTTGTCTTAAGCTGCCTTCTGCATTATCTATTATTTTTATCTTCTCCCCCTCAGGAGCCGACGCCGACGTGCAACGGCGGGGGACCAGCGGGCAGGGTAACCCACCTAGTGGCTTCACTAGTGACGTTCTTACTAGCTGCCCACCTAGCGCGCTACTAGGTGGTGTTTCTATGAAGTCTACTTTCCTTCTAGTACTCGATTGGTAGTCAAGGTTCCCTATATTTTCCTGGTCTTACTAGAGACGATTGTAATATTCATTAAACTTAGGATGATTTAAACAGTGGAAAATGTTGTTGCTAGTATCCACTGATATTCCCCTACTCTAGTATCCGTATACATTTTCCTAGTGGACTTTTTGTGACACCTTGGAATTTTCCTATGCGTCGGCGACTCTTCCTAAAACTCCTACAGGCCCCTTCTAGATTGATCCCTGAAAATTTACTAGAGAAAATCTAGCACGCCTTTAGTATAATTTCCAGAACCCTATTAGTTTGTACCAAGTACATTGCTAGTGAAATATCTCAGACCTCTCTAGTGCACTATCCGGGACTATGTAAGTTGGACACCTCACACCTAGTACCTAACTAGTGAAATTTGTAGGACTCTTCCAGTTGACTACCTAGGAATCTTCCAGTAGACTATCTAGGAATTGTAATAGATTATCTAGGACAAAATCTAGGCCGCTATTGACGATTCCGTTGCATTCACATAGCGCCACTCGATCCTAGATGTATGACCTAGGAAACTCCTAGCATCTCTAGTTGCTTGAGGGGGAATAGCTAGTTTTAGGGTCCACCTGGCAATGTGCCGTCAGAGGATAACTGAGCTTACCTAGTCATACGGCTAGCAGTGCTGCCTCACTAGTATTTTCCTAGTCATACGGCTAGCAGTGCTGCCTCGCTAGTCACTAGTATTTTCCTAGTTTTGCGGCTTCAGTACTGCCTCACTAGTATTTTCCTAGTCGTGCATCAACTACACGTCGCGGGGTTGAAAGTACCTTGCGTAGGAGAATGTGAGTACCGGGAGGGTACGTGAGTACCGGGAGGGTACGTGAGTACTGGGAGAGTGTGAGTACCGGGAGGATGTGAGTACCGGGAGGATATGAGTACCGGGAGGGTGTGAGTACCGGGAGGGTGTGAGTACCGGGAGAGTGTGAGTACCGTGAACCTGTCGTGCGTCGTGAGAACGGGGCACATTTCTCCTCATTATAATCCCCTTTTAAATGTCACCGTTTTATGCCTACAAATGTTACATCATTATCACATTATAGTGTGATACTGAACATATTTCTATATTTAAGGGTAGAGAAGTTTGTCACTGTAGGGGTTGAATGGTTATGGCCCTGTCACTATATAAGTTGTGTTATTCTGTCCATATATTATATTCTGTCAACATGAGGGTTGATATGATATATAGTTTCTCTCAACTTAAGGTATAGTTTGTCCCAACATGAGGGTCGATATTGTTGCGTTTCCTCATTCTTCCACTCGCTGTCTTGCTCTAGTCATTCATGTACAATAATTAAAGTTCGTTGTTGTATTATTCTGTTATATATATCAGTTATATTATTATTTATACAACTTTTAACTAGTCATGTATTTAGTCGTATGAGTTTAGTCACTTACAATGCTGATTCTTTAGTCAATGTAAAGTGTCATGTTTACAATAGATAATAAATTGTGGAGTTTCTCTCTATTATCTGAATTATACGTAACCACATGAGTCGTGCCTAGCTAGGACGTACCTAGTGAGGTCGCGTCTAAGGTTTCTTCTCATTAGTTTCTTCTCATTAGTTTCTTCTCATTAGCTTATTCTGGGCAGATTATCCCGCAGTCCGACAATTGTGCGGTCTGTTACGATGTCCGGTGTGCATTGCTAATAGTGAATAGATTACATACAAAATTATTAACCAAGTTTGGTGAGCAAAGCTCCAGAATCAATGAGTGAAGAATTTTATGTTACTATAAAGTCCAAGTTTTTGTTTTGTTCTTAAATACAAAATATTAGTAAGAAAGAGAGCTAAGATTTGGCCGCATAAGTGTTGCGTCGTAGGCTGGCGGCAGGAGAAAGTGATCAGAACTTTTTGGACGAGACCAAAGCCTATAATTATCAAGGTTGTTATAGCTTATGATGTGAATATTATAGCTTCAATTATATAATTTATGTCGTCAGAATACAAATATTTACAGAATTATAGATTTAATAAAGGAATGTACAGAATTATTATTTCATTGTTACTTATGCTTGACTTCTTGACGAATCTTGATATTACAGTTTGGGCAAAGCATTAATGGAACACGAATTATGATTTTGAAATTCAGTTTGCTCATTTTTGTGCTATTTCTTTGTTTAAAAAACGGTGAATTCCGCCCCAATGTGAAAAATAAAGGTGTTTATATTAGTAAAACATCGTTTTCTTTTCATTGGAGAAAGAAAATGTTATTCGATGGCAAACCCGAAGAAACTGAAAAAATTTCCATGCCTAATGAAACTTCAAAGGTAAACTTGACTTTCCAAATTATTAGCCAGTAACAAACTACCAACCACTAGAGATAAATCATCAACTAAGAACTTATCAGTCACTAAGAAACCAACACCCACGAATAAATTACAATATTATGAGCCACTGGGAAACTATCAGAAGCAGAGTAAATAGAAGTAAGATTAGAGAATATTTTGTAATTCAAGAATGGTGAACTGATGCTTGATTCCGAAGAGGCTAATGTCAAGCTTTTATTTCTCAATATTATGTTTCAATTTCATTCTCTCTCATTTTAACATTATCATAAGCTGGTGAACTAGAAACTTATAACGATAATTAATTTGCGCTATATGGGTGTTGGTGTTGGGAAAGCAATCAACAGTGCCTGTCGAAAATTCACTATCATGCTTATTTAGGACAGCACACTGCGCAGCACTGCTTGTTATGTTCTAGCATGACACTGCGCAGCACTACATGTACTAGCATGACACTGCGCAGCACTGCTTGTTATGTTATAGCATGACACTGCGCAGCACTGCGTGTTATGTACTAGCATGACACTGCGCAGCACTACATGGCATGTACTAGCGTGACACTGCGCAGCACTGCTTGTTATGTTCTAGCATGACACTGCGCAACACTGCTTGTTATGTTCTAGCATGACACTGCGCAACACTCCTTATAATGTTGTTTTTACCAACAAAATGTGAAGCAGTTTTTACCGTTCACATAAAGTATTTTCAGCAACGCTCACGACAAGCTTTTTCAAAACCAAATAATGTATTACGCGTTGGAAAATTCCCGTTTTCACCTAAAAAAATATATTCTATTCCTAGTGGCAAGACTAAAACACTTTTTAGTATTCGCTAAGATTCATGCGTAACTTATGCAAGAATTATGCGTAATCAGAAGTCCATATAGTAGAATAACGTAGCTGTACAAACCAGCTCAGGTAAAGACCCTGAGTGATTTAGATCTACTCCTCTACAGCTCGTAAACAAACTGATCTTTTCTTTGTTTGCCATTCGCCCTGAAATGTTTTCGTTGACAAGAAGGCGCAGTTTTATGCTCTGGATTCTGGAAAAATCTCGACGGAGGCTTTCCATTTTATGCTGAGAGAAAAAGGTGAAGGTGAAAAAAATTGAATAAAAAAGGTGAATGAGAGAAAAAGGTGAAGTGAGTCTGGTGGACCCACTTGGACGAGTCAACCGCGTACAAATTTTTACATTTATTTTTACCTATTTTACATTGCATTGTTTTACTTACTTGCCTATTTGTAGGTCATACTGATCTATTACTAAAACTAAAGCGAAAACTAAATTTCAGGTATGAGTTCTATCCAAAACTTGAACTAAAGACCATGAACATTCTTCATTTTTAGCGCATTTTCTCATTTATGGATAAAATGCCATATTGTACTCGTCATGTCCGTCCGTCTGTCCGTCCGTCCGTGACTTCACGTTGTCGTCGACGAGAAACTGCGCTCTCTGTCACTCACTGCAGTTAGTACTGAGTTATATTTTTTACCCTTTACCTCAGCATTTTTTTTTTAATTGAGGATTGATGAGTGATGAGTGACCACCTTCCTCACGGGCCCATTGCCGGGCCCATTACCTGCCTCACGGGCCCATTGCCGGGCCCATTACCTGCCTCACGGGCCCATTGCCGGGCCCATTACCTGTCTCACGGGCCCATTGCCGGGCCCATTTCAGCGTTCCTCACGCTAATCCCTCTTTATGTTTCGTGACGAATCTGTCGCAAATGTTACGAATGTGAGATTAGTGAAACGAATGTAGGAATTCAGTCCTGAATGCGCAAAGGACGAAAATAGATGAACCTTCACGAATATCCATGAAAGGTTAACGAAAGTATGAATTGCGTTACGAGTGTATGAACTTGCAACAAAAGTATATGACTACAAATAAATATATCAATAACTATATTTTGTACGACTATATAAATAGCGCAACGAATGTACGACTACAATAACTGAATATGGAAATGCATCTCGAGAATATGAATGCCGTGACAAGAGTGCAGATGGCACTGCTAGTGTTCAAACATTTTGTGAACCATAGAGGAAGAAAAAGATTAAATAGTCTAGAAGTAATTTTTGATATCATATTAATTTCTGCTATCAAGTTCATATTCGTTAGGGTTTACTCGTACATTTTACCTTCGTATAGTGTGAATTCAAATCTGTTAACTTCTGAAAATAAATTGTGCAAAAAGATTGAAATTTATTTTATTTTTTGTAACAAAAGTTTCATGAATATTTAATCACATTCGCCACTTCACTTCAGTTGATGGCATGAATAGAAAGCTTTTTCCACCGCCCCTCAGCCCTGCGGTGTGGCTTGGCAAACAACAAATGATAAAGTGAGGACAGATAAATATTTGAGAGCTAGCTTTTGGTTTCATTAGATTTATTTGCACTGTAAATAATATTTACAGTACAAACTTACTTATTTACAGTTATTATCATTTATTTCTACTGTAAATAGGACGAGGATTGATAAAAGACTAATGATGCGCATAAGACAAATTTATTATACTCATCTCTATCACTTGAGTCAGTATTTAATTTTCTCTCTTTTCAATTTTTTCTTTCTTTTTTAATTAATTGAATTTAAACTTTAACTGCAACTTTCTTTTCAATCCTAAACACTATAAGCCTATTATTTACTCTGGAATTTCGTTTGAAATTTCGAATTGAAATAAATAAGCTGGGGGGCCTTGCGTACAGAAGATTGTTAGCGTGAACCGAGCGTCCTGCAACTGTCCACCCGCAAGCCCAGAATTATCATGAGTCTGGAGTCGGTGGTCTCGAGAGTCTTCCATTTCCATTAGAAGATTGAAAAATTCTTTGACCCTCAATCAAAGGATATAATGATTACTTTCAAAGAGTCACTCATTTTCTCGTTATTACTGTTTCAGAAGTCGTCATTGTGCTGTACAGAAGTCGTCTGTTTCAGAAGTCGTCATTGTGCTATACAGAAGTCGTCTGTTTCAGAAGTCGTCATTGTGCTATACAGAAGTCGTCTGTTTCAGAAGTCGTCATTGTGCTATACAGAAGTCGTCTGTTTCAGAAGTCTTCATTGTGCTGTACAGAAGTCGTCTGTTTCAGAAGTCGTCATCGTGCTATACAGAAGTCGTCTGTTTCAGAAGTCGTTGTGCTATACCGCACCCGTTCTTCAACGGGTGCATGTTGAAGGGCGAAGATTTAGGTACTGGAATACGGTTCACATGTTCTGTGCGTGAACTGTATATGGTATGTAATACGTGTTAATTAATGTAACTCTTCGAGGAATTTCGTTTATTTAAAACATCCGGTGTATTTTCTTAATCTAGAATGAAACTTACCAGTACTTTTATATTGATTTTAAAATCTAAAAATAACTTAATCCTTGTTGTTTTAGGTATAACTTTATGCTACTATTATTTGCATGAAGCACCATGAACTTTACTGTCCTGAAGACTGGACTCTGAGCTGTACTGCATTAACATGTTATCTCCCCCACTTGGACAATTTGTATATCATGCTAACCCAAATGTATTGCGATAGTACGAAATGTCATGCTTACCTAAGTGTACAGTGATAGGAAGCTGACCTTAATGTACCGAGATTGACAGGCTGATGTCAATGCACCCTAATTTGCGGAATGTTGTGATGAAGCGATATGCACATACAGGAAATCGCTTGTAGGCCTTAGGCCTATCCATGGAAAGCCGGGTTCCTGGAAAATACACGGAAGGCCAGACACAGGACAGCCCCGGCGCCTATATAAAGCCGGTCAGTGGCTCAGAGCTTCACTCGAACTTCTGCCGTCCGACAGCAAGCATCATGGAAGCTGGCAAAATTGTGAGTATCGGGCGTGCGGGGTCCAACTTGTGTGGTGCGCGGTATGGAAATACTCTGGGATTATATTCAACGAAATTTAAACTTGATAATAGGAACTAAGTCGTGCGTACTTGTAAGAATATTTACTTTCTTTGATAATATGGTTGAATGCATAAATATTGAAATATTAGTTGAATACGTAAAAACGTAAATATTGAATGTAAATCCTCTTGGCTTAGCAAATTATATTGTAAAGATAAACAGTTTTGGCTTTTATTTTAAAAGAGAATATTCTAAAATCATAAACAATGAAGCAGTCATTGTTCTCATAAACAAGTACTAATCAATTCATAAACACATTATAATGATGAATTTTGAATGTTTTGAGTTTCGTCACTTGTACCGATCTATCTCACCTTCAACTAAACATTATAAAATTTTTTCGTCCTAAACTTGAACTAACGCATACTTAATTTTGAAGTATTTCTAATTTGGAACGTTTGTATTCCACAGACCGCTGTGCTTCTGCTGACATTCGGTCTGTGTACTGGGCGGCCGATCGACCAGCTCGGTGTCCGCTCCCCAATAAAAAACAGCCCCTACAGACCTACTAGGCACTTGGTTCACGAATCCCATCAGATCTATCCTTTGAATATTCAGAAGTTTACGTCGTATCATACCGTGCCCGTCCCCCAACGCATATATATTGACGGACCGAGCTTCGACTCCTGGGAATATGATTCCCCCGAACAGTTCGATGACGATTTCTCCGATGAGAGATTCCGAGATTTTGGGCATCGACGAGTCGTTCGGGCAGTCGAACCTGAAGGCATCGAAGTCCTCGCTGACGACCTAATCGCTGATGCCGAAGGAAAACATGTCGGCACCGAACTCCACGCCGCTAATGCCGAATACCACACCAATGAAGCCAAAGGCCTCGCCACTGATGCCGAAAACCTCGCCACTGGTACTGAAGGCCAAGCCGGTGAAGCAAGAAAACACGCTGCCGACGATCAGCCGGCCGACGCCCAAGGGCGCTTCTTTCTTGGCAAACTTTTCGGAAACTTGGGCATTACTGCCAACTTCGACGGAGGGTACAGTAACCCGTACGGCGGATACCACAGTGGACTATATGGTGGACAATATGATGGAGATTACGGTGTGATACATGGCAGACCATATGGCGGACAATACGGCGGACACTACGGAGGACAATATGGTGGTGGACAAGTAGTGACCAGCAAGAAGGAGTACGTCTCCCAGTCCCACTCCCACACCGGGTACGACAACTACAACAACTACAATCATGGTTACTATGGAAGCAGTCCCACTCTGTACCGCGAGAACTATCCCATTTACGGAAATGGAGGCTATGGCTGGTAAAATTATATTTCTAGTGTTCATTTATCTTACCCCACAATTGAAGAATCAATTAATTAGTTTTCATTTCGTAAAAAAACAATGTACCGAATACTAGCCTATATAGGACGACCCAGAGAGTTGGATCTCAGTGTGCAATGTGACGTACAATATTACGGGCGATGGAGGGAGAATGAACAGCGGTATAATTTTTGCTACCGTCTTGACGCCGGATAAATCTCATTTGTGTGTATTATTATGTTATGTTATCAATAAACTGATCCAAAGTCATCGTATTTTCTTGTGACCTATTTAATATGAACTACGGTACCTATGAATATTACCCAGTCACGAATTTTACTAAAGTTTCTCAAGTTCTCATATATTTTCTCTTCATTGTGGAAAGGGAAGTGTTCTTTGGGTGGTGTGAAATGTGTTTTGAACAAAAAATTCGCTTAGCTCATTGGGCGATGTTCATTACTTCTTGTTCATAACTCCTGCTAAAATTTGTTCATTACTCCTTCCCTTCCATGCCCTCACACGTACCTGTGGCACGTGGCCTGGACATTGCTTTCGACATCAGTGACCTAAGTAGTGGATACCCAGTCCATGTAGTGGATATCCAATCCAGATGGTGGATATCCAATACAGGTGGAGGGTATCCAATCCAGGTAGTGGATATCCGATCCAGGTGGTGGATATCCAATCCGGGTGGTGGAATGTTCCTGTGATGTTGGACATCAAATAAAAGATCACATTATTCATCAATTATTTGATTATACTTTATAATACATGAACGTTCATCACGAAATTTAATGCAATTTTTAATTTTTTTAATTTAATGCTGTTGGGGCTCTCAGAACACCCAACTGGCCCACATGATCATATAGGTTGGAGTCACTGATGAATCATAATTAAAACACTTTATTTCACCACCCAAAATGAACACAGAAAATAATCAACAAAGTTTAACATTAGCACATTAACACTCCATAGCTTTCATCGTGGGTGCTTGACTTTCAAGACTAGCTCTGGACTTGAGTCTAACTTTTGGTTTGAGTAACTATTGGTCTGAGTAACTGTAGATTCGAAGCTTGCCTAAAATAAACAAATAAAATAGATAAATAATAGTTAAATAAACATTAAACATATTCAGAAACATATAACCCAAATATTAACACAATTTTTCCATATCGAATATATTCACATACATATTTACATATTGACATCCTAACGTAGCACATACCGTCGCTCCGGTTTTCCACGCAACAATAATCAACGAACCTTAGCATTCCGCACATTTCTTCCGGTAACCTCTAAACTAAAATACCAACAAATTCAAAATAATAAACCATTTGTAACAAATATTATCGCCTCGCATTGCATTGAACTGTCAAACAATTTCTATCCTCTACATTGCAATTTTGATATCAATACAATATAACAACTATTCACACATTATTTCAGCGTTTTAATCATTCTTAACACTATTCTAACATTCTCTATTGTATTCAATATTCATACATTGTAGCGCCATTCATACGTCGTGCCGTCATTCATGCACCTTTGCGCTAATGGTACAATGAATATCATTCTTTCTCTAAAAAGTTTACACTATTGAGTTGTTCGTCCCACTATTTGACTGAGACATGTTATTTACTATTTCATCGTGTTGTTCGTAAATAGGTAAATTTTTACTATATAAGTTCAAAATCAACGAGCGGAGGGGAAATTGGCGGCGTTAGATTGTTTTTTCATCGCTCCGACAGAACAGGTGCCATACTTTCAAAAAAAGGTTAAGAGATCGTAAGTTCATCAGCCAATCGTTGACGGCCTTTCAAGCAAAATCCACCAATCATAGACAAGAATTGGAGCGTAAGTACTTACGTTCACTTAGCGAGTTTTGAAAGTATGGCCCCTTGTCCAATTTATTGACACACCACTGAGGAGCGGAGACTTAAAATGACAACAAACACATTCAAGATCTCCTCGGTCTCTTGGCAGCTACAACATCTCCTAATAAATATAATATTACATATAACTCTCCCATGATAAGGTTATTTACGAAATAATTTAATTTCGGCCGGTAATCGTGCCAAGATTCCAAAAAATGAAGTTTCCAAAGAGGCCGTCAAAAAGTAAGCCTCGGCGAAAATGTTTGTGAAAATGCCTCGGCTGTCGCCCACAAAACAGTTGTAACATGAGTGTGTTCTCATCTTATTTGAATTAATATCATGGCTTGGATACAAGGAATTTTTACTGTATTTTGTATTTGGGAATTTGTATTTTTATCTTTACTTCATACGACGAATGAGGAACACTTGGGTCATTTTCATTCATATCTCTTTACTTTTCATAAATATCGATTATAAAACGCTTTAAAATCAAAACTCTTATTAGCCAGGAAATTTTAATTAGAAGAAAAGGCATATCAACTTTATGTAAAGAAGATCAGCTATTTTGTGCCCCACTGCGGGCACTTTCATATTTTTCAATATTCTGTTTTACTTGTGAAATAAGTATGTACGCCTATTCATATGAAATAAGTATAAGTATACCTATACTTATGAAATACGAAGTCATACCTATTCATTTGAAATAAGTATAAGTATACCTATTCATTTGAAATAAGTTTAAGTATACCTATACTTACGAAATAAGTATAAATATACCTACATGCATATCCCAGTATGTTGCTCAGTGCAACATAGGACAACAGCGCTGTAGGAAAAAAAACACTACATTATTATTAACTGATTTCAATGAAACTCAAATATTCAGCGTGCTGAATCGTGGAATGCAGTGATGAATAATGGACTTGAATAAAATCTCGTATGTTGCATCACTTGTAGGCTTGGGCGTATTACTGAACTGCCTGGTTTCTGCAGACACGAAAGAAAAATCAAGTACGAAAAGCCCCAGCACCTATATAAACCCGGGCTGTATCTACCCGAATTATTTGCTGTTCTACCGTCTCAAAGTATGCATCATGGAAGCCAATATGATTGTGAGTAATTAGCATGACGAAATGTACTGTGCTATTGTGGTATATATCGTGTCAAATTTTGTTGTGGGGGCGAAAAGTTAAGCGAACTGATGATTGTACCAAATATCATGTTCCTATTAGTGCGGAATGTAGGTATAATTTTGAATGGGCTTAATGTGTGTAGGTGTTACCCGCTATTATATGGTTTCGCCGCTTACAGGATGGTGAACATGAAGCGACGATTGAAGTTATATTTCTGCTCTAAAATATTAATCTTCAGTATTTGTTGTAGGAGATAAAGTCTGCACATTTCAGTACTGGGCATAATTTAGTTCATTAGTAGATTTTCAGTGCTTCGGTCTCTCATTCTACATGTAATTTCTAATTGTAACCTTATGACACGTGAACGTTACAGTTCGCTGTGCTCCTGCTGACCATCGGTTTATCAGCTGGGCGGCCTGTCGAGTTTTTCGAAGATGAGACGCCAGTGGAAAACTACCCCGAATTCAAACAGACCCATCCCTATGACGTCCGCAAGTCTTCGGACTTTTTGGAGTCTGTTCCCCACCTGTTCCTCCATGTTTACGAGCCGCGCTTCAGCTCCGCGGACGAGGATTCGCTCGAACAGTTTGAAAATTCTGCCCCCGATGTCGAGCTTCAAAGAGTCGTTCGCTCAGCCGAACCTGAAGGCATAGAAGTCTTTGCCAAAGATCTGATTGCTGAAGCTGAAAGCACACACACAGACGCCAACGCTGAAGGAAATCTCGCTGATGTTGAAGGACAACACCATGGCACAGATAACCCTGAAGGCGAGCCTGTCGACGGTCAACCCGCCGACGTAGAAGGAAGATTCTTCCTTGGGAAACTCTTCGGAAAGGGTCACGTTTCCTCGACGTACAACGAGGCGTACGCTACCCAATCGGTTGGTTACAACGGAGGCCTGAACGCTAGACCATACGTTGTGTTGCAAGGAGGAATAAACGGCGGGCTACCTGGCGTCGGGTACGGTGGTATACCCGTTAGATCGCATGGTGAGCAGCTGGTACATAGTCGGGAAGAGTACCTCGCCCAGTCCCATATCAACTCTGGGTATAATAACTTGAACCCTGGCTACTACGTCGGCGGCCCCCCGATTTACCGCCCAAACTACGTCGTAAATTATGGAGATGGAGGCTATAGGTGGTAAAATTACACGTATATAACTGTATATGGTGCTGACTTTGTAACTTGATAAAGTAAGTAAGTCAGTCGTATCGTTCAAGTCGTAGATCGTGAAAAAGTTCGTCCAAACGTTTAGCAGGCGCAAGCTTTACGCTACCCAGTGTGCTGGGCCTTGAGTGCACTAGGATGCACTAGTCAGTGTGCGTGTGCTGGTCTAAATAAAATGGGACGTAGGAAGTGGAGCTGTCGTAAATACTTTTATTGCATTTTTGACGCCGGAGGTATCTTCACTTCTGTAAAAATCTGTAAATAAAATGTGAAATTTTTATAGCGGTATAATCCTACTGAATCTGAGAGAATCAGATTTTCTGCTTGTCTTTGGCGTGTACTTCAGAACTTGCTAGCAATAGAATTCTTGGTTAGGGATTCTTTCATTTAACTGAATACGCAAAATGAACTGTGAATATTCATGTACGAGATCTTAAAGCTGCTGCAGAAAGCTCGCACAATTCCAAAAAGTAGTTTCTGCACAGTTTGAAACTGCATAGTTCAGAAAACTGTGACTACTCGAGGTCTAGTAGGCAATTTTGGAAGAATTTTAGCCCATTTGAATAACATGATAATGACGATATTTTTTGAAATTTTGATACCTATCGAAGAAGTTCGGGAAGAATTCCTGACATATTCTCGAGGACTGCTTGGTCGTCTACAGTGCATCGACCAACTGCTCCCTTCCATACCAGCGCAACGTAACTGAAAATTCTAGAATTTTATCGGCGAAAGTGTAATAGGGCGGGTAGGATGGTTGTATAGTCTAAAATCTAAATGACGAATTTATTCTTGACGAAGCAAACCTGAATTGTAAACCCTCGTGCACCGCAGACGTACAAGGATACTTTGTAATAGTCAAGCGTTGCACACTTGGAGTATTTTGAGACAGGATTATATTGAACGACGGAGTTCGAGCTCTCTTGTTCATTAAATAAGGAGTTTGAACTCCTTCATGTAATAAGGAGGCCTAAAGAAGGCTCTGGCAACCACGCATCTTGATATAGCGCGGCAAGGTTCATGTGAACGTTATTGAGCTGCATGGCTGACGTTATGAAGTGCTGCTTGTCTGAAAATGGGGGGCATAGCGGGCGGCTCCCAGCGAGTTGCTTCATGGCATAGGCTCACAATACACTGAGAAGTGTTGGTTGCGTAATTAGTTTTTGGACTTTATATCTTGTGTCGCGAACTTTGCTGAACTTATTCGCGGCGTTTATTCGGTTGCGAAATCAATTTCTGAAAATCTATTTAGAACCACCGTACACAAAAATTTCGTAGTAATCATTCTTGTTTAGCCATTCGTATACCAAGTCTGTAGATTAGGTTTGAACTGAACGATAGACTTCTACATAAAGTGAACACATGAGTATTGCTGGTAGTTCAACTTGTAGGAAAATGCCCTATTAGTATTGCGAGTTGGTCTCCACGTTATTCGCAAAGGTTAAAGTATTTTATTTATTCATAGATATTCCGAGACCACTTTAAAATGAGGCAAATCTTCCATATCCAGCTCGCGTCAATCGTTCCAGGTCCCTGATCTAATGATGGCTTGCAATGATCGCTTTGGATCCACTCTAACTATCCGTTTTCATATTAAATCTTAACTCTCTCATAAATCCATGAGCCCATCACACTCCGGGGCCTATACTTTCAAAAAAAGTTAAGAGATAGTAAGTTCATCAGCCAATCATTGACGGCCTTTCAAGCAAAATCCACCATTCATAGATAAGAAAATAGAGCGTAATTACTCACGCTCACTTAGCGAGTTTTGAAAGTATGGCCCCAGGTTTCATTATTAGCTGCCCAATAGCGGGCACGAAGTGATCATTAGAACGATACATCACATTGACGTTTGAACCATCATAACAGTTGCGATGTTTGATGCAAGTGACCCGGCACCTTCTCTGCGGACGAAGTTTCTTAAGGCCTCGGTAGTGAATAAAAATATCGCTGGGCCTCACCTGTGAACGCACCCACCCTATAGGGCCCTGACAATTAATACAAATTCACTATGAAAAAAGTGAGACATTGTTCAAATAGCGATGCACTTTCTTACACCCTCTTATAGGTCATCCTGACTCGATCAAGTCCGCATAGGTGATCTGTCGGCTCTCCTGTCGTGCTGTAAGAAAGTGTGTCGTTATTTGGACAATTTGACATATGCATTTTTCTGAATGTAACGTAGGAAGTTATGTTGATAACGATTCGCTGGAAATATGCGCCCCAAAAATGATGGACTGGCGGGCACGATTGTTTACGGAATACAAGTCTAGACGTCATAGTCTAAAAAATTAAAACGTGTACTGTTGAGCAACGACTAGGACTACTATATTAATTACCTCTTGAGAAAAAAATGGTGAAATGTAGTACTTCAATCTTATAGTTACACATAAGATACAGTATTTCTCAGCAATATTTGAATTTGAATATTTTGATCTCTACTGAGACATAAGATCGTAAAAATTTCCCTGAACTAAAAGCATATACCCCATTATATTCTTCTATCCATTTATGATCCGAAGCATTTCGTGCTGCATAGCATATAAATCTAGTATGAAATAAAAGCCGTTACTAAGAATATATCTTCAATGGGTCCCGATGGGAATAACGATTGAAAAATACTACTAACGTATGGAGAACAGACCAATATTTAGAAGTATACAGGAGATAATACAGGGTGCGGCGCGGGAACTTACTTATTTGAATTGCGCGCCACGTGGCGGCCATTAGTCCTAGGAAGGTGGCGCCATGATGTAAAAAAGAAAGAATTAAAACGCTATCTTTAATACTTTTTACTTTGTGATTTTTTTAAAAGAGTAAGTTCCCACGCCGCACCCTGTATTAATATATATTATAATACAAGCAAGATATTCTTCATTAATTAATTAGCAAGTTTTCGCGTGAAAGATGCTTTTCAAAACTGCCTAAAGGATATCTGTTAACGAAAGCCTGCGCTATTAAAGACCAGGCAGTGTGATGACATTTTTCAATTTAGAAATAGGCATGAGTATACAAATGAATATTACATTTTTTTATTAACTTAATGACGAGTTCTTGTGTAAAAAATTCGATTGCAGTATCGTCTAATGTTTGGTAATAAATAATAATGAACGAGTTGGTATGGATCATTATTGAAATTGAAGTAAAGACCGTTATTGAATTGTATTATTTCCATATTATAATTGCTGTGGTCAGGCTCACTTCTATTTGCGGGATCTCAGATTACTTGTAACTAACATCTGGAGAACTTATACATTGACAGGCCTTTAAACATTTAAGGTTCTTCACAACCCGAGGATTTGATTTCATTCTCACCGAGTCATCTGAGATAATGATCATCAATAATTCTAACTCAATGACTTTTTATTGCAAAAATTACTGTGAAACGTTTAACTCCAAGATCTTGAAGTTATGAATACTGAATTTAATCACTGCTTTTACTAAATTGTAGTTATTGTTACTAACTAAATATTTTTCGACCGTTGAAATATTTTATATATTAACTTATATTTTTTTGTCTTCAACATGCCTGGCTTGAGATACCAGCTGCCGAGAAGGGTGAATCTCGGAGTTGGGAATGCAATGGCAGCTGACAAATAAATGTGTATGTAAATATCTAGCATATAGCCTACCGCACATATAGTATCTAAATAAACTTTTTACAGCAGGAATGACGCTAGACCGTTAATCTGAATGTTAATTAATGTCAAAATCACTGTACTATGAATCAAAACACGAGATAAGAAATTCATTTCACAAAAATTAATTAAATTTTCAATAAATATTATCAGTATGTTATATTATTACGATATATGACATTATGAAGTAAGTGCGTCGCTCCGTGATAGAAAGTGCATGAACGGCTTGTGCACGTTCACCGTCGTGTACGTAATCGCGTACATGAACGTAAATCAACTGACGTGCGGCAAAACTTTTGCGAGTTTGTATATTGCGTTTCGCCTCATCTCTTATAAATTCCTTCTCTATTATTGGTTGTATTTTTGTACTGTTGATTTGTAGGTTAGCTAGCTTCTTGCACTAATCTACGAAATTATTAAGTGATGTTTTAGTATATATAGTACACATTACCCGATGTTTAGATTTCTATAGTACATATTACACGATGTTTCAGTATCTATTGCATGGGTCCTGTGCCGTTTCAGTGTCCATGCATAGTTTTAGTCCATGTTGCAGTATCTCAATATTACAAAGCTAATTTGCAAGGTTATGATTCCGCAATGCGATATCGTCATGAATGCGAGAAAAACATGGCTTCTTGAATATTACCCTGACGGGAACCGAGGAAATTAATTCCGATATATAATATGGATTACTGCGATACCGCGATAGCTGCTGAGGAGTGTATATAACTATATGATCCGAGCCGCGGGCAAATGTTTTTTCTCCTTTCGTCGTTATTTTCGAATTCATATTCCTAATATTTAACAAATTCATATTAGGAATGGGTTGATATTTTATTTGCCTCGCTAAATATTGGTAACAGGGATTCATCTTTCACTGGCGGTGTAGTTAGTGGATTACAAAATTTATTATGAGAATATCGCACTTTTATTATTAATTAAGTAGCACGTGTTTTTTGGCTCGTATGTTTTGCTTTACGATAAGATTCTGGGACTTTCTGATTTTTAAGTCAAGAAATAATAATAAGGCAAGAAATACTAATCAGTTAAAAGCCACAGAACCTGATTTTTCTTGCATATGGGAGGCAGTTTGAAAATCTCCGAAGATAATCTAAACAAGACTTAATAATAGCGGTTTCAGCGTTTATTAGGCCGTAGGCCTGTCGCCGATTCTTAACATCGCAGATCATTCACAGCATTTTGCGGTCTCGAACTCGCAACTCACTGCTACAATTCTGTTGTGCTTAACCGCACGGCCTCCTCGCCGATTCTGACCAAAATCTGGCGCACAGAGCTGGGATCGAACCCGCGCCTCTCTGCGCCAATCTTGGAACTCTGAACTGTAACCACTTCTCTACTGAGAGACGTGTGTTAAGGTCGAGCCTTTCTTTGAAGATGTTCAGGTCAGCATCGTGTGTCCCTTTGAAATTAGAAGCCAAGCAGAAATGCGTGGCTTAATTAATTAGAAATTAATGTCACTAAAAAGGTGGGTAATACCGTAATACGCTGCAGGTGTAGTGGCAGTTATATGACATCAACTTTATTGCATGTGAGCTTGCATTAAAAGCCAGGGTTAAACTCTCCCCAGTTCGGTAAATTCATTTTTTGTTAATTTAAGTTCAATTATTTAGTAGTAATAAGTAATAATATTCATTCTATGAGCATTCAAAATGTTCGCCCAGAAAATATAGGAAGGCACGTTTTCTAATGACCTTTGGTTCAGACTAACGAACATTCCTTCAAAAACTGGTGCTCATTATCCGTGTCTCTCTAGTAAACCTACAATGGCATCTTCGGAGTAGTTCCTACAGGACATTCGTACATATTAGAAACATTAAATTTTTATATTAATTATATGTTCACATTTTTCTGTAGATTTTTAACTTATTCACTCGTTTTTAGACGCATCTAACGTAGCTTTAATATATTGACTTGTGGTTTCTCAACTGCCCAACGTCTCAACTGCTGGGAATAAGTTTTATGATACGGATCAGAGCCCAGTATAATAAACAAATTTCCTTCTTTTGACTATAGTACAATTCATAGATTATTGAATATCAAGACGCAGTTGTAATTAAGCTACCAACTCATAAAATTTTTCTACAACTGCTTTTGAAGTATAAAGTTTCATATATTTTTTATAAAAAATTAATTGATTACCTCCGATTGATAACTTATTTGGTGATTCTGTCAATTGATTCGTGGCTTCGACTTTACGCAAGTATGTAAAATTCCAGATCGATTGGACAGGTAGAAGAGTGTTAAATATTGGTTATAAGATTTGTTGCAGATAGACAAAGAACAAGAACTGAAGTTAAAGAGAAGTTTGGTAATAATAATAAATTATGAATAATATAATGTCCATGACACTTTCATCCTAAATTGATGAACTGCGATCATGTATGTGATACAAAATATTTTCAAATAAACAAGCATAGATTATGCAGCCCCGAATTCTACAAGAGTTCTATTGCCATTAATATTGACGATTATTTAATAAGAATCAAGTGATACAATCCAGGCAGGTTAATTCTCAGGTAATATCGAAAGGTAATAACATGCTGAATAAATTCTTTTTAAAGCGAGAAATTTTTTGGACTATTTATGGCTGAAGAATGTTAAACTGATAGATGTACGTAATGGGTGATGCACGAAATTGGTGATGTGCGTAAGTACGTATTGGGTGATGTACGTAATGGGTGATGTACGTAATGGGTGATGAGTAATGGGTGATGTATGTAATGGGTGATGTACGTAATGGGTGATGTACGTAATGGGTGATGTACGTAATGGGTGATGTACGTAATGGGTGATGTACGTAATGGGTGTGGTGAGAAGCGCCCAGCTTGGGTCTGTTGCGTATCTGACTTGGTTTCAGAATTTAATCTTCCTCAATAATTGATCACAAATATTATAACTATTTATCTGGATCAATAGTGTCTCAAGTTATGATAGGATTCAAAACACCATTCATTTCCTTATTTCAAGTCTTGGATATTTTGATGTGATATACAATGCGCTGCACTGAGCAAATAACTACCAATTTAAGTACATAATTGCACTCATGATACATCAATTTATCACGCCAATTATCAGGACAAACAATTAAACGATTAGTCTTTTATCAATAAAGAGACATGATAAATATTCACTGGATTGGTTAAAATGATGGAACCATAAATGTCATTGAGATACACAAGGATCATCATATCCCATGAACATAACTTATCTAATAACCAATTTGACCTCATCAAACGTCATATATATTAACAACCTTATTTCAGATTTAATATAATACGAAAGAAATTACAAAATTAAATAAATCCTCTTCTTGGTTCCTACCCTAGCTTTTTTTCTCTTGAGGTGAACAAGGAAAAGCGGCTGAGCATGAGAGGCCTAACCTTCGCTCTGTAGTCCAAAAATCTTGATTGCGATTTAACAAATCGCTATCCACATGTTCAGTTAAAATATTTAATTTGTGAAGTAAACGACAGCAGTATGTGTTCTGCAAGACACTTATTTTAAATCAAAATAGCCCCTGAAGATATCATAGTTTTATATTAATAATGAATTAATATAAAACGTTTTCATTTGCTCACTGGAAACCGCGTGCCCGGAAACAAAGAAATGGCCAGGGTATGGAACAGTCCCGACGCCTATATAAGGCAGGTCAGCGGCTCGGTCCTTCACTCTAACTTCTGCCGTCCAACAGCAAGCATCATGGAAGCTGCCAAAATTGTGAGTATCGGAAGCTGGTAAAATCGTGAGTGTGGTGCGAAGAATTTTGCTCGAAAGTTGTCGGTCATTGTGATGAAATTGAGGCTATATTACTACCAAAATTCCAATCAAGTTATGTTTATTGTGGACAAAATGTACAATTTTCTAGTGAATCGGTGGATAAAAGTTTAATGAAGTGAATTATTATGTACGAAATACTCTTTGCTAGTGAATATTGTGAAGGGAACTGTAAATTTCTTGCGAGAATATTCTAAAATCGCGTTGTGTTGTGCGCAACACAAAGGCACGTGTGCGCATATTATCCATGGCACGTGTGCGCAAATTATCCATGGCGCATGTGCGCAAAATATCCATGGCGCATGTGCGCAAAATATCCATGGCGCATGTGCGCAAAATATCCATGGCGCATGTGCGCAAAATATCCATGGCGCATGTGCGCAAAATATTCTGAGTGTGTGGCTTGGCAGCACTTTTGTAGGCTATTGAACTTCCTGTTATTAGGATGTGTGTCCGAAAGTTTGTTATATCAGAAGATACAATAGAGCGTCCCATGAGGAGCAGGTTCTTTACAAACGTCAGCCTACATAACTAATTAAAGTGTGTATTAAGTTAGAGCTTCGTTACTCTCTCCACCGTATCTTTCTCAAATTGTGCAGTATAAAAATATGGATTTTAGCAGCTTCATTTCAAATTTCATTGGTTGATTACGCCGCAAATTACTTAAATTTCACAATTACATCACCTTTTTTCCTCCGCAGACCGCTGTTCTCCTGCTGACACTCGGTCTGTGCGTTGGGCTGCCGACCTACCTGCTCGGTGTTGGGTCTCCACTCCAAAACAGGCCCTCCAGACCTACAGAGCACTCCGTTCCACATGTTCCCGAATCCCATCGGACTCCTCCCTCTGGCGCCAAAGATTCTTCTTTGAATCATACCGTGCCCGTCCCTCAACTGGTCCACGTTAACAGGCCGAGCTTCGAATCGCAGGGATATGAGTCACCCGAACAGTTCGATGAGGATTTCTCCGCCAAGAGATTCGGTGTTTTTGGGCGTCGACGAGTCATTCGGGCAGTCGAACCTGAAGGCATCGAAATCCTCGCTGAGCAACTGATCGCTGAAGCCGAAGGGCAACCCGCTGACGCAGAAGGACGTTTCTCTCGCGGAAGACTGGACGGAACTAGAGTAAGTTACCCGAACTACATCGGAGGATACGGTAACACGTACGGAGGATACCATGGTGAGCAACACGGTGGACCACGAGAGGGAATATACAATGGACAATACGGTGTACAATACAGTGGTCCTCAAGGATTACAGTACGGAGATCCTCAAGGCGTGCAATACGGAGGCCTTCAAGGAGTACAATACTTTGGGCAACACGGTGGTCTGCATGGAGGACAAGTCGGAGGTCAACAAGGAGTACAATACTTTGGTGTACACGGTGCACAATACGGTGGGCTAAACGGTGGTCCATACGGTGGGCAGATCTCGCACAGCAAACAAGAGTATGTCTCCCACTCTCACGCCGGGTACCACCCCTACAACAACCACAATCAAGGCTACTACGGAGGCAGTCCCATCCTGTACGGCCCGAACTATCCCATTTACGGTAATGGAGGCTATGGCTGGTAAAAGTATTTATTTTGGTTCCCATTTCCCAGCTGAGGAATAAAAGACCGGGACCCGGTATGATGCACTGTGCTAGTAATTTTCATAGACCGTCACAGGAAAAACTACAGTAGAACAACCCAGTGGTCGTCTTGACTCTGAGGAAACTTCGTTTTTGTTTAAACTTGTGTCCCTGAATAAACTTGTCGATTTCTAAAGCGTTTTCATACATTTTCCATTAAAGATTATCTTGGTGATGAATTTAAGAATGTGACTCAAATTTTCGTTCATTGCATTTAGGAAGGTGAGCCAGCAGAGGCCCTCTCGTGAGGTCGAATGAAACACTTGTTAGCAATACTCGTATTAGCATCAGGATAAGCGGATGCATTTAGTGCATATAATTGGAGGTTCTGCTTTACCTCAAAAATCAGAATAAAAAATTTAAAACGTAATTTTTGAAAATCAAGGAAGATATGTTCCTGTATTATGCTTTTATTTTAGTAGAGATATGAAACATAAAACATGTTTACCTAATGGCTTGATTATGCTTTTTATCACCTGAATAAAAATAGTCGTTTTTCTCAAGCATCGCATATGCAGTTGAACTGCCGAGAAAAGTGTAAATGAATCAATGCTGGAAGTTTTTTGACTATTAACACTCTAGATTTTCGTCACATGATAAGAATTTATTCGATAAGCTCTTTTCTTCTAATTAGAACTCTTCTTGCGCCCCTTCGACGTCGTCGGTGGAGTCCAGACCGACCTCCTCGTAGTCCTTCTCGAGGGCAGCCAAGTCCTCCCTCGCCTCGGCGAACTCCCCCTCCTCCATGCCCTCGCCAACGTACCTGCGGCACGAGGGCGCGGGTTTTATTTCGACACATGGTTTTTCTAAGTGGTGGATATTCAATCCTGGTGGTGGATATTCAATTCAGGAGGTGGACATTTAATAAAAGCGGTGGATTGTAGCACTCGAGGTGCCAATAAAGGGTCAAAGGCCCTGGGCATTTCTTTCGATAACCGTGACCTAAGTGACGAATATCCAATCCAGGTCGTTGATTGGGACACTCGAATTGCAAATAGATTTTCATGAAAGCGTTTTATTTACTTGATTTTAGATTAAATATATCAGATATTTGGCTTGAGTTTTTGGAGCTTTGAAATGTCCGTACATGGGGTCGATCGAGCGCCACAGTAGCAATCATGCGCGGATATTATGACACCTAAAAATTACTATTTTATTAATTTAAAAATGTTTAACTTTCCAATTTAACACGAAAAGTAATATTTACTGTATAAGAAGACACAAATTTCTAAGATTATTTATCAATAGAATAGCACACTTATTTCGTTTGCATAGTAATGCTGGCGTCGAAAATTATGGCACGTCTGTCATATCTCCGATGAGAGACATCGTAGAATTTTAATCATCTATAGCTGGGGTTCGAGCCCGCAACTCACTGCTTCATTTTTGGTACTCTTAACCATGCAGCCTTCCCTTCGATAATTTTATTTCTGTTTTGACTATTTTTTTCCTTTTGGGTGTCGATGGTTTACAATGAATTTGACAGAGGACACTTTAGTCTGAATATCATGGCCTCAAGAGGACGAACCAATGGCCTCTAATCAATCGGGGCCTGTTGCCGTGAAACATAAACATACAAATACTATTCATATTTTACATTATACATTAAATTTTAGTCCACGTCTGACTATAGATTTATACTTTCAACAAATTTGTGAAAGGCCGAGTATAGTCTCTAGGCCAACTAATGCCTCTTGCGTGATGTGGTAGTCACCGTATAAGTATGGCCTCACCGTTACCGAAACATCGTAGGGCGCCTCTAGTTAATGAATTTATGAGTAGCCTCAACTGTGGACGAAGTAAAGCATGACCTCACCAGTAGACAAAATAAAGCATGGCCTCAAAAATACACGAAGCTAATCATCGCCTCATCAGTGGACTAAGTAACGGATGACCTCACCAGAATAGAAGCAAAGCATGGCCTCACCAGTGGATGAAGCTAAGCGTGGCCTCACCAGTGGACGAAGCTAAGCATGGCCTCACCAGTGGATGAAGCTAAGCGTGGCCTCACCAGTGGACGAAGCTAAGCATGGCCTCACCAGTGGATGAAGCTAAGAATGTCCTCACCAGTGGACGAAGCTAAGCATGGCCTCACCAGTGGACAAAGGCCCTCTTGGCGTACATGAGGTCGAACTTGTGGTCGAGGCGGGCCCAGGCCTCCCCGATGGCGGTGGTGTTGCTCAGCATGCACACGGCGCGCGACACCTTCGCCAGGTCCCCGTTGGGGATGGCGGTTGGGGCCTGGTAGTTGATACCCACCTGGGGGGTGAGGAGAATGTTTATCTTAGAATCCCACTCGGGACAATATTTACCTACTCCGTAAAATACCAAGTGTGTAAAGTTCGTGATCTTTTCCTATTTGAAGCTCAAATCAAATGCTTGATGATAGAGTGGCAGCATTTTCTTCTTTTCCTAGTACACAAATTGAGTAAATTCCTGAGCTTCTGTGAAGCGCGAAGCAGGGAGCGCAGAAAAATATTACCAAACATTTCCGCTAAGAAACGCGGAGCGAGAATCAAAAATATTCTTAAACTTTTCCGCTATGTTTTGCAGCACAAAAATTGAAAAGAATCCCAATTTTTTAGGCCATGAAGACATTGTAAACCTTGAAGCCTGTAGGGCACCAGTCCACGAACTGGATGGACCGCTTGGTCTTGATGGCCGCGATGGCGCAGTTGACGTCCTTTGGCACCACGTCGCCGCGGTACAGCAGGCAACACGCCATGTACTTGCCGTGCCGGGGGTCACACTTCACCATCTGCACACACATATATATATAATTGTGCTTTATAGGACAGGAATTAAGCGACTGGTTGGTTTTAAATTGCGTTTTATATATTTACGGGCCGAGCTGTAATGATAAGGAATAGAATTTACAATTCACCATGGGAATGCATGCCTACACGCAAAGGTAATGCATGCCGAATGGGTACCTGTACAGTGTACACTACCTACCCATCCTCAATGTTTACTCTCACCACCACCACAGCTCCTTGGCTCCTTGGTAATCCCTCCCACCCCCCGTTACCCCAGTCACAACGCTCACTATTACCACCGCACATGATCATCAACTTTCTCTATAGTCACCACCACCCTGACCACCACAGTTGGGCTCGAAGCACGAGGCGGTTATCTCAGCCACAGAGAGCTGTTCGTGCCCCGCCTTGGCCGCGGAGATAACGGGCGCGTACGTCACCAGCGGGAAGTGGATGCGCGGGTAGGGCACGAGGTTCGTCTGGAACTCCGTCAGGTCCACGTTGAGGGCGCCATCGAACCTGCAGACGGTGCAACCACTGACACTTCTGGCTGTGGGTGCCCAACGGGCGTGGCATTCTGTCCCTTTTATTCAATGCCCAAAGTTCTAGTCTACATTTATCCGTTACTTAATGTAGGATTAACGGGCCAACATTCATTGCGGTACATGAATTTCAACCCGACATTCGAGAGCTGAGAGATCAATCATGGCCCGAATTTGCTATTTGGAATGGCACCTTTGACTTAAAATAAACTCAGACGATGATTGAGCCTACAACTTGCAAAGCAGAGGCATAAATAATGCATTTACGCGATGTTCGAGCTTCCCTATTGCACTAAACATTGCAACAGCAGGAACTAAACACCGATCCGATCCAGCACAAACGAAATTCATACAGGAAAAAAAAACATTGAATTTAATTACATTAACGTTCCTATCCCCTCGAGATTGTAAATGGATAGGTTCATCTGTTCATGTTTACTTCATTTTTTTTTTATTTGACGACTTGTGTTTTAATATCTTCAATGCGAATTTTAGTTTACTAATTGTAGGTACTTGTGTTTTAGATTTTTGAACTGACGATGGAGCTGGACTCCGTAAACTTTTCTCTCATAAGAAATCGCGAATTTTTTGGCTGTTTTCTTTGCTTTTAAATTCTTGTTAAGATAGAAACCCCCCCCCCCCCCATACAAGGACCGAATAGTCTGTTAGATCACCCATTGCAGAAACCTGAGAGAGGCGGTGATGGAGGAAACGATCTGGCCGATGAGTCTGTTAAGATTGGTGTACGACGGCCGCTCGATGTCGAGGTTCCTCCTGCAGATGTCGTAGATGGCTTCGTTGTCGACCATGAAGGCGCAGTCCGAGTGTTCCAGCGTCGTGTGCGTCGTCAGGATGGAATTGTAGGGCTCAACCACAGCTGTCGCCACCTGCATAGGCAGGCCGATAGTTTTATGAGTGGCATAAAGTAGGTTTTTTTCTGTACTTCAAGGGTTGTTGGAATTGTGTACTCGTAATTTCGTGACTGGTACGTTATGGAGTGGTGGGGTGAAGAATTAAGAAGGATCGGTGATCGGTTGACAAGGGAGGTTGAAAGTTGGTTTAGAATTCTTCAGGTCAATTGTGCGGGCGGTTGTTTTACGTGGTTGAAGTGTGTGTGTAATATGTTATAATTAGGCATTTTTAAGTCTAAAATTACGTGCTTGAGTGCTGCATGATGGTCTCAGAGCACTCATGGTCAGTACGAGGTCTACAAAACATAATGGATCAGATATCGAAATGAAATATAGAATTTGATATATAAATATAAAATTGAAATCATAAAACTATTTATAGTATGCGTTAACCGGTGAGAATAATGTCACTTTAGTTCAGAGACTTAATACACGTTGTAATTAATGCATTGTGAAGCACCTGGGGCGCCGGGTATATGGCGAACTCCAGTTTACTCTTCTTGCCGAAGTCGAGCGAGAGGCGCTCCATGAGCAGCGATGTGAAACCCGACCCAGTGCCGCCCCCGAACGAGTGGAAGATCAGGAAGCCCTGCGCTTACGAACGCTTCAATGTAGCGTTGTTCATATCACTGACCATTAAAAATTGAGTAATATTGTTCAAGTTGAGCTTTACATGCTCCAATACATATTTATATATGAATACTAGAGCTCAAGCAATAATAAGCTCATGTATCAATAATTATTATCGGAATGTATTCGTAGCTGCACGAGACACACAGCACACAAGACACGTCAGCAAGCCACACACAAGTATACTGTTATACACCTCACACAGCACACACAGATGCACCGTGGACACCTGCACAGTGAATGCACACCCCACGGCAACCATGACACCTGAAACACAGACACCTTCTGCCCCACCTGCAGGCCGGTGCACTGGTCGGCCAATTTACGCGCCCTGTCGAGGGTGACATCGATGAGCTCCTTGCCGATGGTGTAGTGGCCCCTGGCGTAGTTGTTGGCGGCGTCCTCCTTGCCGGTGATTAGCTGCTCGGGGTGGAACAGGCTCCTGTAGACGCCTGTGCGAACCTCGTCTGGGTGTGAAGGAGGTGGGATGTTAACTCGCCAGCGTCAAGGATATGAAATGTTGTGGTGTCTGCGTGTTCGGATGTAGGATATTAACTCATTTGGGGGTTGAGATGTGGGGTGTGAACTCATTTGTGTTCACATGAGCACATAATTTTTCAAACCGCACAGAATCATGTGCTGAAGAAATAATTTTTAAACCAAGGATGCTGCGGTCGTCATTAAAATTAAACATGATAGCTGTGATAAATTGGCCCACCAATGGCTGAATAAAGTATCCCTGATAACAGTACTAATGTTTAGCCACTCTAACGGTAAATGCTCAGCAGATGTGAATAATTTGTGTTCTACCCAACGGTGGCTTGAGTAGGTCACTTGGTTCTAATTGTGTGGGACGTTTGCAGCTAAGCAATAGGAGTTGCAACAAGAGTCTGCAGCAGTGTAGCATGTATACAGTTTTAAGAGACAATCGTGGAAAATTTGTCCTTGGCGCTGTGAATTAGGCCAACAAAGTATTTGATATTTTTGAGATTTAAACAATTCAAAAATGTTGACACACAGAATTTTAGGTGCTAATGTAAATATTGCTTGCTATGGATCTTTTTGAATATTCCAACAACAAATCTGCCTGAGATGCAATTCAAAATGAGCGATTTCTCCCGAAGAGAATTGTGAAATATTTTTTAAGTCTAGCTTTCTCACCTGCTCGGCTGCTGAGTGGTACGTAAAGATGGCACACCTACCAAATTTATGTCGCCGTGCACGATAACAGCCCACCAATTCCAGATGCTCTCCTATTATGTCTGCTCCGTTGTACATGCAGATGGCCCGCCTATCACAGTTGGCTCTAGGTCCACGAAGATGGCCCACGTATCACAGTTGACTCTAGGTCCTGAAGATGACCCACCTATCACAGTTGGCTCTAGGTCCATGAAGATGACCCACCTATCACAGTTGGCTCTAGGTCCATGAAGATGGCCCACCTATCACAATTGACTCTAGATCCATGAAGATGACCACCTATCACAATTGGCTCTAGATCCACGAAGATTGCCCACCTATCACAGTTGGCTCTAGATTCATGAAGATGACTCACCTATCACAGTTGGCTCTAAGTCCACGAAGATGGCTCACCTATCACAGTTGGCTCTAGGTCCACGAAGATGGCCCACCTATCACAGTTGGCTCTAGGACTAGGTCCACGAAGATGGCTCACCTATCATAGTTGGCTATAGGTCCACGAAGATGGCCCACCTATCACAGTTGGCTCTAGGTCCACGAAGATGGCCCGTGGCACGTGTTTGCCAGCCTGGGTCTCGCAGAAGAAGGTGCTGTAGGAGTCGTCGTGGTGACCCGCCATCTTGTCTGAGGGCATCTGGCCATCAGGGTGGATGCCGTGCTCGAGGCAGTAGAGCTCCCAGCACGAGTTGCCGATCTGCACCCCAGCCTGCCCCACGTGTACGCTGATGCACTCGCGCTGTGGGGAGGAGGGCGTCAGTGCACGTGCGTATAGGGGCACGTGCGTAGCGAGCGAGTGTGCCCTTCGTGGTACGTTGCGTAATGATGGTGTAAAGTATACAGAGCGTTGCGTTATGATTGCAATCACTTTTTTCGTCGCGTAGTGCAATATTTACCTAAATTTCAATTTATTTCCGATTTCAAAGAGCTTCTAATTTGTTTTATGATCTCTGAGCCCAGCGATTAGATTTTGATTTAATTTTGAACAACCCTGGAGCTTTTCGTAACGCTACTGTAGATTTCGCTAGGATCACGGTGCGCTCGGGTCACGGTGCGCTCGAGTCACGGTGCGTTCGGGTCACGGTGCGTTCGGGTCACGGTGCGCTCGGGTCACGGTGCGCTCGGGTCGCGGTGCGCTCGGGTCACGGTGCGCTCAGTTCACGGTGCGCTCGGGTCACGGTGCGCTCGGGTCGCGGTGCGCTCGAGTCGCGGTGCGTTCGGGTCACTGTGCGCTCGGGTCACGGTGCGCTCGGGTCGCGGTGCGCTCGGGTCACGGTGCGCTCAGTTCACGGTGCGCTCGGGTCACGGTGCGCTCGGGTCGCGGTGCGCTCGAGTCGCGGTGCGTTCGGGTCACTGTGCGCTCGGGTCGCGGTCCGCTCGGGTCGCGGTGCGCTCCGGTCACGGTGCGCTCGGATCACGGTGCGCTCGGGTCACGGTACGCTCGGGTCGCGGTGCGCTCCGGTCACGGTGCGTTCGGGTCACGGTAGGTAAATATGAGTTGCAAACTACGTGGACTTATAGTACACAAGCACAGTTATTGTTGGTTTTAATCTCCTTAGCTCTCCGTCATCCATTAGTATTTGTTGCCAACTGGGAATGGAGAAGGAATGCAGGCAAATTTTTTCTTTTTATAATTATAATTTATAATTTTTGTATAATTTATTCGCAAGTTAGTATTACAATGAACGCATCACCCTTTTGAGCTAAAATTCATGCTACATTTAATTAGGAATTGTGATTAGTTGGCTTTGTTATAGTTTTCTTATGGCTAGCATATAATTCAGATCAATATTCAGTATAGTGTGAGTAGCGTGGAGTGAGAGTAGCGCGGAGTGAGAGTAGCGTATAGTGTGAGTAGCGTGGAGCGTGAGTAGCGTGGAGGGTAAGTAGCGTGGAGGGTAAGTAGCGTGGAGCGTGAATAGCTTGGAGGGTAAGTAGCATGGAGTGTGAGTAGCGTGGAGTGAGAGTAGCGTATAGTGTGAGTAGCGTGGAGCGTGAGTAGCGTGGAGCGTGAGTAGCGTGGAGCGTGAGCAGCATGGAGCGTAAGTAGCGTGGAGGGTAAGTAGCATGGAGTGTAAGTAGCGTATAGTGTGAGTTGCGTGGAGCGTGAGTAGCGTGGAGCGTGAGCAGCGTGGAGTGTGAGTAGCGTGGAGTGTGAGCAGCGTGGAGTGTGAGTAGCGTGGAGTGTGAGTATCGTGAAGTGTGAGTAGCGTGGAGTGTGAGCAGCGTAGAGTGTGAGTAGCGTGGAGTGTGAGCAGCGTGGAGTGTGAGTAGCGTGGAGTGTGAGCAGCGTAGAGTGTGAGTAGCGTGAAGTGTGAGCAGCGTGGAGTGTGAGCAGCGTGGAGTGTGAGCAGCGTGGAGTGTGAGTAGCGTGGAGTGTGAGCACCATGGAGTGTGAGCAGCGTGAGCAGAATGCCGCTCATCTTGGCATGAGTCCTAAACTAAAATTAGTTGCGTTCATCGCAGGTGCGTTGGAGCTGATACTGCTTCGCTATGCACCACAAATGCTATAGAATATAACCACAATTCTGGCATTTAGGGATTTAGCTTCACCATCACTCTATAATGGCACACAAATTGTTACTATAATTATAACAGGATCGTCAAATGCTACTTCTGTACCTCTATCATGGTTATGCCTAGCAGGTACCACTCTACCGTGTGTACTATCCCTCCGCGGGCAAAATTAAATACCAACTTACGGTCATCACAGAATTAATGACTGAAGTTTGATTTCGAGCTATGCTAGTAGTGTGAATTATTTAATACGACTGAGGTGCACGGTATATACCAAGTACACCTAGTACACACTTTAGATACATGATAAATACTAGGCATGTTCTCGCTAAGTATCCTGAATGGGCTCTACGAACACCACACATTTTCACATTGCTACTAGCATGACAGTCATGTTATATCTACGTATAAGTACTCCTCGTCAAATGTTAACAGTGCTTTCGAGATGTGCCAACATAATACATGGTCAACACTAGTCTAAATGTGGTGAAAATTTACCAATCGTCGTTTCGCTCTACAAGAATTCATAAGCAGAGAAAAAACGCTCTGAGTTTTCACTCGTCAAAAAGGTGAGGCAGGTGCTATATAGATGTGCCCTTGGCAGTGCTGATGCTGTGTATTTCTAAACATATTAATGTTTTAGAAATATGAATTTATAAATGCGCATTTGCTAGGTATGGATAATGGAAGTGGATAATTTAATTATAACCTTTTATAATTAAGAGGCGTGACACGTTTCATCAAAAGCATAAATGATTGGAATTCATTGTAGTTTTTGTCTATATTCCACATATGTCATTTATGTTACAATGCCTCACCATGATGCTGAGCAGATGTTAATTGCTGGAAGAATCGAAATATTAGAGTTCAATTGTGAACTTCTCGGGCTGGCTGATGCTGCGATGTCGCTCTCTGCCGGCACTCTACTGAGACTTGCCAACCCGGCAGAATGTTCAGCTATAGCAAGCTAAATAATATGAAAAAAAGTGTCGGTGGTAATTTGACTCGCGATATATTTGTAAGACCAGGGCTTATGAACTTTTGCATATGAACGAACGTACTGCCGCAATTTTAACACTTTAACCGCATCGTGACCCATATGTGGGTCACGCGTGTCTGTCTCAACCTGCATCGTGACCCACATATGGTGCACTCCCTTAAATTTATAATAATTCATTAAACTTCAATATTAACCTCCTCAATCACGTTTTAGGTGTTAGAAGTAAAGGATAATGATGACGATAATGTATACTAAGCATTTATTTTGCGTTTAGCGAGTAAACATTATTAATCATTCTTCGTTGAACTTGAGTCCTTAGGCGCTCTATGACGAAATGGAATGCTTCAGATTAAAGCATGGTACGCACAGATATGGTTTATTTTCGCAAGTGTCACAATAAGTGTTTATCTTGCGAGTTTTTGAACGGGCTACTTTAGTTCCTTCCGCATTGGCAATTTGGCTGTAGCAAGACAGACATCTCTTAGAATCGTTATCAGAACTACTTGCTGATTCACTTAGATCATAAGTTGGTGAAAAATCATTGCAGGTATCGGAGGAAGAAGCAGCAGAATCTCCCGAATCAGGACTATCTGCTCCATTTTCATCAGCATCATGTTCAGCGTTTTCAGAACCTCCGCCTTTCCGGTAAAATCGAGATGGATCCATGGGCCTGAAATGAGGATATTACATAATTCATTATATAGCAAACACTAAGTGTATCCAATAATCAACAATATATAATGAATACTTGAAGGATCTCACGAGAAATTTTACAAATAACATGCTGTGGTCGTGGTCACATATGGCGCACGTTGCTACAGATAATAGCTACAATTACTCTCCACATCGTGCACCTCTATTGGTGCACGGGGATCGTGACCCCATGTGGCGCACGATGCACAAAATGAACACAGCTTTTACTGTCCACATCATGTACCACATTTGTCCCACGGATTTTATAACACCAAATGTTTGTACTTACGTTCATAGAGCGACACACAACCTCTCGTCTTCCTGGCTCAATGGTGACTGAAGCAATCGTAGTTTGAACGAGATGCAGACGGGGCATAATGGCGATTCTCGGAGATGCGGTTAAAGTGTTAACGTTCGATTTGTGCATTTAGAATAATATCGGTAATGGTACAGAGCGTTTCACTGTAAAATAATAAATAAATTTAACAAAAGGAACCGTCAAACGAAGTGAGAGTCACTTAGCTTTATATAAAAATTCTAAATTGAAAAAATGGCAAGTAGGCCATAACTTCGCTGTGAATTTGTTCGGCCCCCAATTAAGGGTGGAGTCTTTCATTATTCTCTTGTGCTTCCAATGTTAAATTAGTGCTAACTTTAGTAGTTAATTTAGAGAAAGAATGCAATCCGATTATCCATAGTCATTTTATTGTAGAACTAAAATTATTTTCGGATCATCATTTAAGAGTCACAGTTCATTCTCACTGGGAGACAAACGACTCAGGACTTTTAGTGTCCTATTGCATCGCGCTGTCGTGACTCGTGACTCGTGAATTCGGGATGACTTTGAAGCATAAGTGATGGTGGCAGAGTCGCAAATTCAACATTTACAAGGGAAAATAATTTTGCCCATTTATCTCGGTTGCAGTGATTGAGTAAAATTCATAGTTTTCTTATCAAATCAACTGTATTCAAGAATGTCATCGAACTTCCAAGACGATATCAATAGCATCCCCCTTGCTGATGATGATCCATCAGGTAATAATGTGCAGCCTGCAAAAAGTTAATTTTTCATTGTTGTCAATATCACAGCAGTCTTGCAGGACTTGTATAGAATTATATGAAATAATGCAATTTGAGATAAAATTACACTTTTGTGAAAATTTAAGTTGAATTTGCTTTTTATTCATTCCCTAGTTGTTAACTTTGATAACTTTGTAGTTTGTACTTTGTAGCCTAGTAATAATGTACGTAGCTTAGCCTATGTAGGCTACCTAGGTACCTAGTTGCCTGGGCAGCCTGGCACATGGCATCTGGCACCTGGCCATGGATTTGATTTAACTTTGATACTTTGATTGATGTCTCTGATTCAAAGTGTAGACTGTAGGTATCTCTGATTTTTTATTCCTGACTACAACTGTGAACTGTCAATCAGAACTTCTGCCTATTATTATTGGGAATGGGAAGAATTTTCTTAAAAATCTGTAAAATAATCACTTATAGGGTAAACGCGGTATATTCCGAATTTCCGACATCGTAGGTAATTCCATCACCTTTCCAGCTTTTCCTTTATATTAAGCTTTGTTTTAGTTCCATGCGTTCATTGATGGTTGAAATGGTGACGTCATACATTTGCGTGTCGAAATACTGCAAAAACACTAGGTCTTGGCCATCTAGGTAGTGGGAAAATATTGAGATCCAAAGAGAGACAATGCATGCAGTAGTGAAGTGTTTTGAGAGTCATGTGAAGGCAACAGAACTTACGTAACGCATACGTTTTTTTTATAGTTTTTCTTTTCTTGATGCGTCCTTAATATGTCGGAATATACCGCGTTTACCCTAGGTTGTTTTGAAATAATTGGGCTTAAATGTGCCATTTTACTTATTATTGTCTACTGATGAAATTAAGTGAAAATTGTCTACTGTCTATGACGTAGGGTTGGGCCGTTCTCTGAGACTGAAGTCTTCCTTTCCATTTGTAGATGATGTAGATGTAGAATAAATACATTTTTTGTGATTAGTTCTTATTTTTTATGTAGGGTGAACGCGGTATATTCCGACACATTAAGGACGCATCGAGAAATGAAAAACTATAAAAAAAACGTATGTGTTACGTAAGTTCTGTTGGCTTCACGTGACTCTCAGAAAACCGCACTACGCGTCAGCAACAATGAAACGTCACAAAATGTTGCCATATTTATTAAAAAGCCTTTAGAATGGAAACCTACCAAATCCCTATATTCCGTCACTGTGTGTGGCAATATTTGACACGTGGTGAGTCGTATTACGTCAGCGCTTCAAATTTAACTGATACGTAATGCCAATATCCACATGTTCAAATTCCGTTCGCTGTGTGAGCTGTATTGGGATACAACACGGCTTTGAATTAGAACGGTAACGAATATTGAACACTACTTAATTACGTTTTAATTAACAGCTATTAGGCTTTTAATTAAGCAAATTTCAATTTTTGTACAAAGCTTGGAACGATCTGTGTGTGTCCAATTCAATTTGTGTCGGAATTAGTTTTCATGTGTCTAAATCCATTTCTCAACTTAATCATCTATTAATTTATTTACGACTTGAAATCAGCAAATACAAGTATACTCGAAGGATTCCTAATATATTCACAGACTAAAAAAAAGTCTCAAACCATAATATTCTTCCTATAAAAACAGTTATTCACTATTTGGTAGAGCAAGGTCAACTGTCAAATTTGACACATTTTTCGATGGTCTCACCAGGTGGCATGCATTGTCTCTCTTTGGATCTCAATATTTTCCCACTAGATGGCCAAGACCTAGTGTTTTGGCAGTATTTGACGCGCAAATGTATGACGTCATCATTTCAACCATCAACAAACGCATGGAACTTAAACAAAGCTTAATATAAAGGAAAAGCTGGAGAGGTGACGGAATTACCCACGATGTCAGAATATATCGCGTTTACCCTAGGTGGTTCCCTGATATTAAAACATTCCTATTTTTCAGCTTCAGGCACATGCAGTTACACAGAGTCTCAGAAACAATAAGTACAAATTCCACACTTAGTTACTGACATTTATAATCAACATTTTTCAGCTTTTAATTAATGGTAAATATGAAACTTGTTCTCTTGAGATGTTGAAACACAAGTTAATCCACATGACTTAATCTAACTACTTCCAGCAATGTAACATCCACTGTGCAGAGAGTGGATGAATATTGCAAGATCTTTGGCGATGCTTCAGTAGCCAAATTTTTGCTTTCAGAAGATCTTGCCAACACATTTAGATTGAAATTCTTGCATTTAATATATTTCTCAGTCTTTGGCCAACTATTTAGAAAAAAAGTAAGGTTTCCGGTACGTTGGATTGATTACGATGCAGCGAAGGTTGTCCAGAAATCAGTTACGATGAGTTCCCGCAAAAAAAATGTAAACAACGTTTTTTTGATTGCGTAGTTTTGGGCACATTAGAGCAGTCAGACTGCTTTATTACATGTTCAGTTGACACTTGCTGTACAATTGGACTGTTTTTAGGGTAAAATTAGTTATTAGGGGTAACACGTGCATGCAACCTTGTAAATAAGTTCGTGGCTTGTAAATAGTTTGTCATTACTTAGCGTAAATGGCTTTTCATTAAAAATTACCCGGCGACGCATCTTAAAAATGGTCGGCGAGGCTTTGGGCTTAAAAACCCATATATTGGCAACGCTGCTTCCATCTTCTGCGCCCTGGTGTAACATTAGGTATACAAAAATTTGTAATAGAAAGAATTTTTATTATTGTCTGTGGAGCCATGTTGTCAAGAAAATGCCAGTTTGGAAATTATTTGAAATGTATGTTTGTGTACATCCTTGATAAAGTTTGCATCATTTAGTTACTGATGATATTTCTGAAAAATTTAACAATTATTTCAAATTAAATTCTGCCTAGCTTTACAGAATTTTCTGCATGAGCTGACATTATGTTTTATGCATTATTTTTTTAAACCATTGTTGTTTTCAGCTGTTCTGCCTGATGAAGGGAGCACACCACGGGACGCTCGGGGCAGCTCAAGACAGTCGCTGGAATCCATCCCTTCTGCTTTCTCCAATGGATCAGGTGAAAGATGCAGGACTATGTGCTTAGGGTTGTTTTATTTTCATCTCATTCTCTTGTTCTCATCCTCTTGTTCCTAGTCATTTTTTTTTTTGTCATGTCAGTGTAACCATTACATTCAAATTAGTGCTGGTGTGTTAATAATTAATCAAATTAATAACAATTAATCAAACACTCAATGAATCACCATCTGAACCATCAACTAAGAAGCTGCAGCACTTCACAGTTTAATTTTTTTTTTTTTTTTGCAAAGAAATTTTTCTTTTTTTTATGTATGAATAAATACAAATTTAGGTGATTGATCTTGAATTAGAGAGTGTCTATTGTTCCATCCAACCCCTATTCTTTAAAACCTCCTGATTCATCATGAGAACTGAAGTTAGATGTCTAGGTAATATAGGTATATACTAACATGGTTGGTATTTTGGATCAAAGTCATGCTTACTACACATGAGGAACTTTCTTAACTAGTCAATATACAATACCTGATGTGTACTAATAATAATAAATTATATTTTAACATTGATATTAGTAGGGGATGGTGGAGACCTCACCCCTGATGAGCACGAGGAGAAGGCACGACTCATCGCTCAGGTGATGATTGCCTTTATTCATCTTTGTTTAGATAATTGTCCAGGCTGAAGAAGTTATGCTCTGCTTTTGCCTCAAGAATTCAACTAGTTTTCATCCTGTTATACCACCTGCCTGAACCTGAGCAACTTTCAAATTAATGTTTCTATTCTCTTGGCGCAACTTCTCTAAAATTGCTATGTTTGCTCGTCTCCTTACCCTGACAATTAATTCTTTTGTAAATGGAAAAATGTTTCGGTATTTGTATTGCCTTGCAAGGTGTGAGATATTCTGGTCTTTTTAGAGGGATAAATAGGTGTGAAATTACAGTATCTTCAGCCTGGTACATATTTAGCATCATGATTGCGATGCGATGTATTATTATAGTCTTGCCATATGTCTCTGTCAAAGATATATATAGATGTAAGGAATTATCACCATACAGGGACATATTTATCATCATTGTGTAGTACCTATATGATGATGTTCCTGCCATAGGTACCTATATATATATATCACTTTGAAATATACCTATTTAGATGTAAGGAATTCTTCCTGTATTGGGACACATTTATTGTCACTGTGTAGTAATTAATTATATTCTAGTAATATACCTAGCACTGTTAATGATTTAAATGTAAGGAATTATCACTGTCCTGAGACATATCACTGTGTATAACTAATTTAGGTATCACCGTGTATTAATTTAATTTAAGTATCATTGCGTAGTATTTAACAATATTCTTGTGATAAAATTTCATTTCATTAATTGCTGCGAGTGTGCAGGTGCTGGAGCTGCAGAATACTCTGGATGACCTCAGCCAGCGCGTGGACAGTGTCAAGGAAGAGAACCTGAAGCTCAAGTCTGAGAACCAGGTTCTGGGGCAATATATTGAGAACCTCATGTCTGCCTCTTCTGTCTTCCAGTCCACTTCGCCTAAACCAAAGAAAAAGTCAGTAACCCGCGAGTAAAATTAGTTTTTTTTTCTTGTGAATTTTGGTGTGTCTTTTGGAAAATTTTTGTTGTTGCCGTAGTTTCAACAAGTTGACTCGGGCATGGAATATCATGCGTGATTGATTAGATTGTGATTTCTAATTAATTTAGTGAAATACTTCATTTTGTTCACAGCTTTTTCAAGCTATTAGCTTCTTCTTTGATTGTGGTTTGATTAATGCGGTTTGATTAATTACATGAACATCATATTTTTGCGAATTATTTCTTCTAAATAAAAACTTTATTCTAACACAGGTCAAGATTTATGACTTATTTTGATATTTTGTTTCTTTTCATATTTCCTAGGTCTAACTTTCAATATTTATAATAATTTCTTAACTTCCCTGATTTAATGCCTGAGATTTTCTGTAATAATAATAATACTTGATATTCTATTCCTTCTTCATTTGTCACACATATTTGTGTGACATATATACATGACATAGGTATATATTGACATGACATATATATTTCACATATAGGCCACGGGCCTATTTCTTCAATGCCGACACTTCTATTCTATTTGTATACCGCTTGATGTAAGTAGAGGTTTGTGAGGTAAATGTGAGATGCATATTGTCAATGATGCTTCTCTCCAACATTTGAGTGGACGGCAACCTCCCTATCTTCACCTCAGCTGCACACCAACGCCTCAGCCCAAAGTTATAATATTGAAAAGTGTCGCCATCTTGAAGGCAATTGTGTTGTTGGCGTTGCTAGATATATTATTGTTGATGAAACCATTGAAACTTGCCATGCTAAAAAAAAAATTTATTCAAGAGTCCATATCAATGCTACCAAAATTCCTTTTGTGAATTGATCTTCATTGTATTGTTATAAAAACGAATGTGTTGAAAGTCTCAAAATCACAAAATCTTAACTATAAAAATTAACTTAGATTCTAGAAACATAAACAGAAGCCCTGCGACATGTACATAGATTTCTTTGCAAAAGAATCTTGGCAAATATCTTCCGCGAAGAACCAAGACAATATATGGAAGTATTTTAATAGGTTGGTAATATATTGTTGTTGTTGGTTAATGTTTGTTGGTAATATTGTTGGTAGGATTGAGGAGAGATTAATGACTTTGTTTTTCGTGCAGGGGCTCGTAGTATGGCGGGCACGAGCGTCCTCGTGTGAGATCTCGTCTTGTCTCTTGAGACCGACGCTATGTGCAGCAGTGCTCTGGTGTAGTAACATTACTTGTACTCTGCATACCAGCGCTCTGTACATCAGCGCTCTAGTGTAGGAACATTACTTGTACTCTGCATACCAGCGCTCTGTACATCAGCGCTCTAGTGTAGGAACATTACTTGTACTCTGCACACCAGTGCTCTGGTGTAGGAACATTACTTGTACTCTGTACACCAGTGCTCTGGTGTAGGAACATTACTTGTACTCTGTACACCAGTGCACTGGTGTAGGAACATTACTTGTACTCTGTACATCAGTGCTCTGGTGTAGGAACATCAAAGTATCCAATGCAGTGTAGTGTATTAAACTTATAATATTACTTAGCATGCGAACCATAACATCATGAAGCTGCATATTTATCCTCAGAATCAATCTGTAAGCAGATACACGTGCACTATACTAGGCGCTTGTAGTTTGCTATTTATTTGCCGCTTTACTACTTGTGTGGGCTCTGGTCAGACATTGAGGTCTTGACTAAAGAGTTATGCAAGCGGCAGGATGTGCATACATTTTACTCTATTACTGAGAACGTTTCTCACATTGCAGTTAAACTGTCATCGATCTTCTATGTCATCGAACGGATTCATCACATGCTTATAATTATTTTGCCTATTGTATCAGAATTATTTTTATTTCTGTTCTGTGTTTAACGTGATTTTCCGCTGTAATATCCTAGTGTAATTGCGATGAATTCCGCCACGCCAGTCGTACCGACGATCGTGGGAGTGCTCCGTTGTGAGCTATTTGCATTCTTATCATTGTACTTAATTAAGGATTCAATATATCGTCATCTTTTTCAAGCTTAAGGCGAATCTTAAGTCTGTACGTATAGATGGAATCCTCGATGAAGAAAGTCACTTAGCTTGGCACTTGTGGTTTGCAGGCTGGTCGTTTGCTTGACATTTTATGGTAAATATTGTCTTATAATCACGTTCTATATAAAAAATAGGTTTAACAATATTAGATTTAGCGCAAAGTTTGTTTTATTATTGAAGTTTTAGGGCTTATTTTCTGACTAAATTAAATCGGGACTACTTACATCCCTTAGATTGTTTAGTCTGTACGTCGCTTTACTGAGCACAGGCAAGATGTCTCATAGTGTAGCACATATAAATTTTTTGTGTGCCTCTACATTGGACTTCTGTTGCCCTGCAACTTTAATGTTTGCTGTGTATGGCGGAATATCCTCCGCCATTACATCCTCTCACGAGTCCGAAATTTTCCTGGGTTCACGCGTCGAAGATCTGGTATGGGGATGTATACTTTGTGATAACTTGTTTTAAGGCACGAATCTCGTCATTAATTTTAAGCTTTACAAAGGCTCTACAGTGAAAATATTCCCGGTACAGCTTGGCTAGTCTATTATAAAGCACAAATTGTATTGATATGACAGACAGTTGCATCCACATGCTCTTACGTCGTCACGGCATCGCTCTAATTTACACAAGTCTGTACAGTTGAACTCTCTCAGATGATTTAAACATCGTACATGGAATGTTCTGTTACTTCGCTATTATTGTTGTGAAAGCTTATCCAAAAATATTTCAATTTAGGCCTCCTAGCCCTCTACAACATTTGTGAACAGGTGAATGAGTAGATGCTCTAATTTTTTTTCTTCTAACATTCCTATTGTGCCTAAACTGCTATTTTGCTTTCTTTACTCCAGATATTAAATAACCTAACTAAGCAAAAGTTATTTATTTTCCATGTTGGAACACAAGAACATGAAGGTTGATAGCTCTTCAAATAACGTGCGTTTTGGAATACTCGTTAATTATAAAGACGACTTGTCTCGAGGTTCACTGTTTATTGTTAAAGTTTACACACAATTTGTACACTCCTGGCATCGCAGCTACAGCCCTTGCAACTTCAACAACAATCGCACATATATTGTATAGAACAGACGTTTCCTACTCTTAGTCCGTTCCAGATTTTGATCCTAAAACTTGGACAACTCTAATTGTGATTTAAATTTTTAAGAGTAAAAAGCAGTATCATTCTAAGCAACAATAACTAGGATTGTTTTCCAGATATTAGAATCCTCGGAGCTTTGCGATTTTGTTGTTATTGCGCATGTGGAGGGTGCGCAGCCGGCGCCAGTAGTATTTGGTGTTGGGGTCCAGCTCCTCCAGTGGCAGAGGATGGCCTGGCGAGAAAAATAATTGCAATGACTTTTCAAAAACTACATCAAATGTTAGGAAATTAATACACGACGTCATTACGCATGGCTTTTGCACGACCCCGGTTGATCAGAGTTCCGAAAACTTTATCTACTAACACGTCTATTGTGTAATTATGAAGTAAAGTTCTACTGTAACACTTGGCACGCGCGCTGTATAGTTAATGCCGAATCAAAGCTCTCAAATTCAAACTTATTATTTCAATTGGCCAAAGTATCGTCAAATAACATCAAATTATTGCTCAAAATATTGGGGTTATATTAATAAAATTACTGAAATGGCAGATGTTGATCACTACAAAGCCAGAAAAGGCTTTAAATTAAAACAATTCACATTAAATTAAAACAATTGCGAACAAGGAGAACAGCATTGCAATGATTAAACTAGTCCAATAACACAAAATTCAAGAGAAATTGTGAAAATTACAAGAAAGGTATGCCATTAGATCAAACTCGACGTTCTAGGATATGTAAATAAAGTAACATGGAGTGAACTGTTCAGTTTGAATGCGTCAAAAGACAGCTTGAGCAAGAGGCAAATTACTAATGAAAAAAGCATGTGAATGGACCAAGAAGATCTATATATCGAATTTTGCTCCATTTCGGTCACTTTCAGTTGAAGATAAAGAAAAGAATACCTAAAATAAATGCTAGAATAGAGTGGTTTCAGTTCTGATGGTCTTACGAAATGACAGAGCTACATGAGAACAGAAAAAGACAAGTAAAGACAACACGTTGGCTACAAATGAATATTAACAGCTAATTATAAATTGATCGCTACTTCCAGCAAGTTCAGCATCTATTGAATGTGTATTTCAACTTTTGTATTTCAGCAGTAAATAAAGAAATAGATTGAATATTGGAGGACCACATAAACTGGTGGTGTGTCTTTGGACATAGATAAATAAAATTAAAGGATTGAGATGTCTAAAGAATTGACAAATATACCTGATTGAGAAGCAATTCGAGTTCACAAAGAAAATTATTCTAAAAATTATTCAATAAATTTTTTAATTTTTGACATTATTTCTCTAAAATTTTTAAGCCACTTGGTTGATCGAATTTAGTAAAGTGACTTTGTGCTGTCCAGTTGTGCAGTTCTTGTATTTTTTATTATAAAAAATGTAAATCTGATGTGTTGCCTGACATGAGTCAATCAAACACAACTGATCCTGACATGGCTGAAAACCATTTATTAACACAAGACAATTTAAAACAACATAATGCTGCTAAATTATATTGAAAAACATAAAGTTGAACACAACCTGCTACAGTGGTACTGCTCACAATTATTAAAAAACTTTTATATATAAAATATATATTATCCATAAAAGTTAAATATTAAAATACCTATATATTTATTTTCAAAATGTAAATTACAAAGTAAACATAGACTGACCAGTGCGAAGGCTCCAGAGCCAGTCAGGATACTTGTGGTCCCCCTTAACCTTGATCACAATTATTAAAGTAAATTTTATACATAAAATATATATTATACATAAAAGTTAAACATTAAAATATATATTTTATATTTAAAATACAAATTACAAAGTAAACATAGACTGACCAGTGCGAAGGCTCCAGAGCCAGTCAGGATACTCGTGGTCCTCCTTAACCTTGACGTCCTGCCGGTTCTCTTTGACCATGTCTGACCCACACACATACTGGCGCAGTTTGTGAGTGTCAGTCTCTACTGGCAGGCCCTGTAATGAAGAAAGACTGTGTCAGTCCAGTAGTCCCTGCCAGTAGAGACTGTGTGTCAGTCTCTACTGGCAGGCCCTGCAATGAAGAAAGACTGTGTCAGTCCAGTAGTCCCTGCCAGTAGAGACTGTGTGTCAGTCTCTACTGGCAGGCCCTGCAATGAAGAGAGACTGTGTCAGTCCAGTAGTCCCTGCCAGTAGAGACTGTGTGTCAGTCTCTACTGGCAGGCCCTGCAATGAAGCATCTGGCATGTGATACATGCTTGCATCACTCAAATAAGAGATTTAAATATGCATGAAAACACTTTAATAAGAGTTGGTAATATCATATGGTAGGAGACATTACAATTCATCTTTTTTGTCTATTTAGTTTAGGCAGGCCCTGCAATGAAGCATCTGGGGTGATCTGGCATATGATAGATGCCTGCATCATAAAAATAATATAATTAAACGTGCATGAAAACACTTTAATAAGAGTTGGTAATATCATAAGGTAGGAGACATTACCATTTATCCTTGAGGTCTATTCAGTTTATTGAATTAATTCAAATTATTATCAATTTGAAAGTGAAGAATAATTTATAAATAAATCTTGAAAATAGGGGATTCAAACTTTTCTATTCTAGTTATTACTAGCAGAAACGTATATTCCTTGCCTAATTTACTATACCTACAATATAGTTACAGGACTGTTGTTAAATAGAGTGTTAAATGTTGTTAAATAGTTAAAGTGTTGTCCTCAAGCTCCTTTAAGTTATGATGAGAAAAGAAAGACACTAAAGAGTAGTTCACTTACATCACGACCAATGCAGTGAATGGCAGAGCCTGCAAGAAGGTAAGCAGATATTAGTCTTTAAAAAAAACCGTTTGCAATACATTCCCTACAAACATTTGTTCTGCATTTCATGATTAATTAGCGGAATGTGATTAATGAGGGAAATCCAGTTGTTGAATGATTATCATAACCAGTAGTCTTAGAATGGAGTTTTGAGAGCAAACTATTCTGAGAGTATTTTGCATAGTTTTTAAATGAATTAATTACCATGTTTTATTCATGAACACAACCTGTGTCCATGTGAGACACATTAATTTTTCACACTGTAAGAAGTTATCTATTAGAGGAAATGTGTGTATGCAGTTACCGGTACTTAACAAAGTGAAAATTAAAAGCAGGCCTGTTTTTTCAAATAATTTAAAACTATTTTTAAACTCCATTTCTGCCTTTTTGAACAAAGCAGATGGTCCAAAAATTCAATATTTAGGCATTGATGTTAAAATTGAGATAAATTTCGAGATTAAAAGCTAAATTTTTGTAGCCATCCAATTTTCCAAAGAAACTGTAGATCATTTGAGATACTTTGCAGTGGCTGTCAATTAAAAATGTAATAGAAAAAAAGCACCAATGCACATACAGCACCAGATATTGCATGTCTTGGTGGCAAGATTACATGTACTTGCAATTAATTTCAAATTTATTTTCTAAATATTCTGGAAATAACAATCTAACCTTTTGAACACCTGTTACTCAACAAAGAAATTAGCTTCCCAAGGCACCCAATTTGAAGCTGCCATGCCATGAAAAATCAACTTAAAGAGGGAGTAATAGAATTAACCATCTAACAGTCAAACAAAATACAAAATGATTTTATATGCAAGTCATCCATGTTTTAGGCTTTACAATAGAATTATATATATTCACTTTAATTCAAAATGCACAATAATTATAGCAGATTAGTAGACTTTCACTCAGAAGTGGATATCATTTCACAATCTAGTAAATCAATTATATATATATGGATGATGGAGCTGGACTCCAAAACGTTTTCAATATCGATTTGGTGAATTTGCTTGGTGTTTTCTTTGCTTTTAAATTCCTTGTGAACTTGCGATATAAGCAGACTGATAATATAAGTACTTATATACAATCTAGTATTTATGTAGAGATGCTGAAATCTATGTATTAAAAAGAGATCTATGTATTAAAATTAAAAATTATTCTGACTAGTAACAATATAACTTACTGAAAATACTGCATGACTGAGATCCTCTTGATATTTGTGAAAGACATGGAGATTTTAATAACTTTATGACAGTGGAAGTTAACATTTCAGTTTAGTTTAATCTGAAAAAAAATTGAGGGAAAATCAGTAAATCTTGCTATCACTTAACCTGTCTTGCTGTCTGTTTAATCATTATTTATTTGAGCTATGAGATCACATCTATGCAGCCCCAGAACCATGTGTTGGACACTTGCTCACATCAGCTAACGCTAATCTTGCTACATTGTCCCAACAGTCGAGGATATATTAAACCTAGAAGAAATAGATTGCATTACAACAAAAAATGTGAGAATATATCACTTCTACATCCAAACTTGGAGAATTGTTGTTTTGTGGAATTTCTCAGAACAAAAAAACATTGACATAGACAACTTTACATTTGTGCTAACAAATTAGTTTTATTTCACTTAGTACCAATATAGCTTCATACACAATCACTTCATTAATTGTGATTGCCTGATTGGCAATTTCAATATATAAACCTTGAAAAAAAATTTCATAAGTAAATATATTGTGAGATTGATCTTGCTTCGTAAGACTTATATTGAACAATTTGATCTCCTCATATTTCTATGTCTGCCTGCAAAGGGGCTAATATGTTAAATGTAGGTATGTAAAAAAATTATCAAAAGGAATATGAAACATACTTGCCCAAAAGTTATATTCAAGTGTAAATTTAAATCAAAAGATGCTGGTGGAAATCATTGTTTTACAGATAGTCTGCAAAAATTGTGGGTGAAATTGTGCTAGTTTACTCAATTTTCATGATGGTGAAGATAGCATCTTTTCACGTTTTCTAATGGTACAATCATCAGGGCTTTACCTACACTATTCTGCATCCCTTCAACACCAAAAGTTTCAAAATATGTTGTAGCTAAAGCTTTAACCTGGCATGGAATATTTCTTCCTTTTGAGCAGCAACTAGAGCTTTCTACCATATTGTGAGCTGCAAGATTCCCACTAGATGAATTACCATATTAATCAATTATTATTATAACTGCACAATCAAGCCGAGAGATTCCAATTGTATAAAAAATTTGTCACTTTGGAGCTGCAATATTCTATTCATAAGTAGGAAAATTACACTCTAGGCTTCAGCAAGAACAAAGAAATGTTTTTTTTTTCAATTCCAATGGGAGGGTCTTGTTTCAGGTTTTTCCATCTAATATTACATGTGAACCCTTTCATTTGATAAACTTCTCAAATTTCACTATGTCAGCAAGTAATAGAGCACAAACAGCAAAAGAGTGGGCACTTGGTCTGTAAACTGCCATCAATGTCAAATGCCAATAATGTTGCAACAGCAATTAAGTCACTGGCCTTCCACAGAAATGATCTAATTTATAAATAATACTGAATGACATCTTTTTAAAGCAACCAAGAGAACTTTGTAATGCTTATGTGGTTAATTTACCATAAAAATAGTAGTTTGGACTGGTTTTATGTTGTTTCTAATGACAAGTGACAAGGTTTCGAACAACAAACATTTATAATCCTTTCTCAGGAAGATATATGTTTTGGGGGAATTTTCATGCAAAAAATAAGCTTCCTGAAAGCAATGGTAAGGGCAGTTTATGCAGAATGATCTCAATCTGATAAATTTGTGCAGATGTCCATGCAATGCAAAAGGCAGGGTCACAGCAACTAGCATTGACTGCAGCTCACCAGTCACTAATTTGCATACATGAAGCACATGAATCCAATCATGCCAGTAGTCATCACACAGCTGCAGCTGTTGGCAGCAGAGGCATAGAAATATATGGTCATTATTATGCTACCAGCATTGACACATAGCACCATTGCTAGGAGATTTTGCGTCTTTGCATAGCTGTAGCTGCTGGCAGCAGAGGCACCAAACTATGCCTGATTATTGACATGCTGTGAGCATTGACATGTGGTAGTATTGTGAGAAAGTATTGCATCATTGCATAGCTGCAGCTGATGACAGCGGAGGCATTGAACTATATATGGTTATCAAAATGCTACACACATCGACACCTGACACCTGAAGACATTGTGAGAAGATATTTTGTCAACACAGAGCTGCAGCTGCTGGCAGCAGAGGCATCAAACTATTTACAGTTATTAATATGCTATGTACATTGCTGCATGGCAGTGTTGTTGTTACCACACACCAATGTGTAAACTTTTATTAAATTACAGTGCAGGGGCACTTTTTTTTCTCAACATTACCACACACCATGAAGATTGAAAAATTGAAAACATAAATTTCTGCACACCTAGCACATCTTCCTGACTGTGGGGTAAGTGCAGTATCTGCTGAATGGCAACTTGTGCATAAGAAATACTTTGGAAATGATCTATTTCTATAAGAAATAGCGTGGAAACGATCTATTCCCCAAGCTTTGACCAGCTTCTATGACCTATGACATTATAATTAAATTTACAATCATGAAAAATAAATCCAAACCATGAATTTGGTGCTTAATCTTTGAGTTCATCTTCTAAGCCATGGAAGATACTGTAACATTCTAACTGAGTCAGTTTTTGCATCAAATCTTTAATTTTTGTCTAAATATAACAGAGAAAACATTTGAATCACTACAAACTATTGAGTATATCTCAATTTTTTCTTCTTTGTTAATGATGCATTGCAGTTTCTTTTAACAAGCTGTTAGGAATGCCTGCAACTTGATCAAGCATGGAATATATATATATTTTTTCTGATAAGTGACTAGAGCTTTCTTGCCATTTTTGGAGACACAAAAGTTTCCTCTTAGATAAGTCATCTTCAAATTTGTAACAAATGTGCATAATACAGGCACAATATTCAAAATTTATTGAAAATATATCTCTTTGGACATTTGTAGTCACAAAATTTCAGTAATATGTTGGAATTTTCTCATCTAACATCTTGAACAAGATGCAAACAAACCAGATCATAAAGAAAGCAAAACCAAGAGCATAGTATGAGCACACTTGTAAGTTGTATGGTACTGTACTTCAAAAGTTCAAATATTTTCTATATAGGTATTTGCAGGCTGCACAATTACTAATCAAACCAAGATCCCAAATCAGATAGCTAAGAAGCCATGAGATTTTTACTGCACTAAAATTATATACCTAGGTGATTCTGGAGCCACCCAATTTTAGGAAAAATTTGAAGCTTTCCAATCTTGGTAGTGGAAACTGATTCTGAATTAGAAAAGTTGTTGTTGTTGCCAGCTTGAAGGTGAGGAAATAGCTGCACAATGACCACTAGTTACACTTACACTTGGCAGGGTTTACTCAGGAAGTTTCAGTTTTCTGTTTCGATGACTCTTGGAGATTTAACCAGGTAGGATTATGGTATTCCATTCTATTGCCAATTCTGAAGCAATGTTTCTTAATACTAAATTAAGTAAAATGAAAATAGTAAAATATATAAAATGAAACAAAAAGGAATCAACACAAAGTAAGAAATTGAATGAAATAAAAAATTCCCAGCCCAGTTAGTTGCAATATCCATGCCCTGAACTGAGCCTCACATGAGGATGAACAAGTTACTGAAGGTCCAGCCTGGGGGGGGCTGGAGCTTCTCAAGATCAAGTTAGTAAAACAAATCGTGACTGTTAAGGAGCTGCTATGCGGTGTACAGAAAATAATACATAACTCCTGTGGGCTTTACCTGAAGGAGCAAAATTTTAAAGCTGATTTACAGGCAAGCAGTAACTGTCCTTACAATGGAGGTCTTGGCACATGAAATTGATAACTGATACTAATCCTAACAATATACTGGTCCTAATTTTTATCATAATGGTCCTAACAAGCTTCATAGATTGGTACTGCTTGTCTCAACTTAAGCACTTATAATAGTGCTGGGATGAAGAGAATATTCTGACAGTGTTAGTTTCCCACACGTTTTAGTGTGGTTAGTTTTACTACTGATATCTATATATAAAGGATTATAATATTAGGAATCATAATTCATATGGCATGCAAGACACCCAGGGCAATCAAGAATGCGCCAAGTGCTGCCAACTGCATCCATTATTATATTCTGGATCAAGCAGGGGTAGGGGCCACCTCCAAGTATATTTTTAAGGGTTACAGGAATATTAAGACGGGTTAGCAGGTTGGTTAAATTTGCTCAAGCATGCTGGTGCAGAGGACACTGTAGCAGTAAGTGTTGGATGGTCTCCAGGGAACCACAAGAGCACAAGCTCAAAACAGGCCAAATGCACTCTCACACCAGCATGTCCAGTATGAAGCCTAGTAAGAGCTGTTTCAATGGCTTGGTTGCTATGAGAGGCCCATGGCCATTCACCTACTCTGTCTCTAATCAAAGTTATGAAGTGACCCTTCCTTGATGTGTTTACCTCCACTATCCATGACTGGTTCCAACTGGCCTGAATTCCATCATGCACCAATCTTGCCATTTCTTACCTTGAGCTGGGGGTGAGAGTACGGTAACCAAGCTGGTGAGCATCCCTGGCTGCCCAATCAGCACTCAGCAGCCTCATTGCCTGAAATTTACCGGTGCTGCTGGTGACCAGGAACATACTGGATTTGCACCTCATGGGAGGGCATTAGTGACATAATTTTATTTTGTATATCAAATATTAAATTAAGGTAGGAGTCAGGTTGCCTATTTCTAATCAAGCAAATTGATGATTGTGAATTGGTGAAAATGGCAATATTCTCAGAGTGGAGGAGGTTGATTTGTGACAACATAATGCTTCCCTTATTGCAAACAATTTTGACAATTGCTTGAATTTCAGGGCAAAGTTTCCAACTTAGTAGTACCCCTTTGGAGGGCATGGCAAACGCAGCAGAAGTAGAGTGGTTTGGGGTGCTTATGTGGGAACCATCTGTGAAAATAGCTGTGTGACTAGAATATTTAAAGTTAACTAGTTCTGAGAAAATTTGAACAGCAGCTTCAGAAGATGTATCCGATACTGTTGAGGGAGAAACCTCTTCTGTGAAGATATCATCAGAATTGAACCATGGGGGGAAAGGGGAGATTAAAGGAGAGGTAAGCATAGTAGGGACCCAGATTTGTAGTGAAGTTAAGATTGCCCTTGTATGGGTAACAAAACTGGGCAAAAAGTTGGTTCTCTGTGGCAGGATATGTGGCACATTTGGGTTGAACAGCTCAGACACAATAGGACCTTGGGGGAGCTGTATCAGGCGGAGATAATATTTACACATCAATTCTCTGCGGTGAAAGGTTGGAGGAGGCATCAGGCCTTTACAATGGCCATCTGCCAGTCTTCGCATATTTGTAGTTAGTAGAAGAGAAAAGAGAGGCCAGGTTACAGTGCAATGACATTAAAGCTGAGACCAGAGTGTTTTTTTTTTTTAATTTGATTTGAAGGCTTCGGGTTATTGTGTATGCAGGTAGCACACCTCCCAGCCTGAGCACAACTGGGGGTTTTGGACACTTCACTTCACTTCTAGATCTCTTTACTTCCTAGCACTTCCAGTTCCAGCAGCCAGTGTGGCAGGAAATTGTGAAAAGAAAAAGTACAATTAGGCTTTGTAGAACATTCACAGCCTGGTCACCATATTGCAGCTAAGCAAATATTGACCAAGAAGATGGATGGCAGCAGTGCATCTCCTCATTGGGGCATCACCACCTCCAAGAGCTGAGGAAAGCTCTCAGGGAAGAGACATGGCCTCCAGTATTGAGCGGAATTCACTTCGTTGGCTGATGAATAGCGTGCAGTGCAGGTGCAGGATGAGGTGTCTGATTGTGCCCTCTACATTACACACTGGACAATTACTGGAGTCGGCTAAGTTGAATCTGGCCTGATGAGTGTTAACACCAGCATGCCCCAGGCAAAGACGTGACACAGAGCATTCAACTGAATGTGGTAGCAATTCATAGTCCACATAGGATATCTCAGGTCCCAAGCTTCTTTGGAAGGTCCCCTTTCCTGTTTCTTGCACATTGACTGACCATTGGCATGCCCACTCTTGAACATTGAGTGACTTCAAGGTGCAGATCCACTCCTCGAAGCACAGTTGAGATCTTGCTGTGCGGTTGTTAGAATGTGCAAGGTTTGCTACCCTATCTGCCACGGTGCCACCTCATTACCATGGATACCGCTGTCACTGTGACCTCTGATCCGGCAAATAACCACTTTGTGTAGTCCCTTGAAATGCAGCCTGAGCATAGGAATAACCAGTGTCATGCAGCTTTTCAACTGCAATGGCTTTCACAATGAAAGGGCACTCTATAGTCTAAAGAATTTGCAGCATGGATTCCCTGCAGTTGGCACAGTGCCTCTCAAGTTCTCAGCTGATGTACAAAGTGTGTGGCACTGTGGCGTGTGCTCATGAGTCATGACTGAGGTCCAGCACCATAGTGACAAAGCAGAGAGTTTTTTGGAATCTCCCTAAAGTTTAGTTTCGAGTCCTATAAGTAGACCAGTAAAGTATCATGGATACCAGCGGCAGTATGATAAGTATGATAATTATCATTATGATAAGTATGATAATTAAGAAATTGGTTTAAATCTTGAGTAAATGAGGAAATTAAAAATGAACTGATTCTAAAAAATCTCTGGTTTGTCACTATGATTATCATACTTAAGAAATTGGTTTAAATCTTGAGTAAATGAGGAAATTAAAAATGAACTGATTCTAAAAAAAGCTCTGGTTTGCCACTATGTCCAGCACACAGGAGACACCTTCTAGGCTTCTAGATTTACAACCCTCTGCTAAGTGCCCCAATCTTTGGCATTTGTAACATCTCAATGGAGGAGCCACAAATGGTCTTACTGGGTAGGATAGATATCCAATTCTGTCATCATGTCATGGCTATGCTATGTCTGTTCCTCAAAAGTAACCTTCAAAGTAGCTGATGGCTCTTGTACTCCATATCAAAATTTGGTAAAGCTGGCATTAGCCTGGCAATGACAGTGTCTCCAGCATTAGTAAATAGTAACCTCTAATATGTCTTCTATTATCCTGTGCATTTTCCTCTACTGCCAGTGCCAGGAAGACTCTCACTTGAACCACCCGAGTTTTGATTCCTATGCTTTCTAGCAGAAATGGCAGGGGTAGCCTCAATGATGCTGTCACTGTCAGCATGTCAGTCAGGGTCACTCAGAGACTCAGGGTCTGACCGTCTGAGTTCTCAACAACAAAGGCTCCAGAAGCTACCACCCCTCTTAATCATCACAACCGGGTGGACCGACTCACCAGTCTCCACCACTCCAGACTCCAGAGTCCAGAAGAGCTGAGAAGACACTTCACCTGGAGCTGGAAGCCCAAAACCTGTCAGAGAAGTAGTAGTTAGTATGATGGTTTGCTTGCACTTCAGCTATCAAGCTTTTTAGCACCGGAGGTCAAAATATAACATCGCCAGCAAGGCGGAAGGTCTCGGTTATTCAAAATCTCAAATTAATCATCACCCACAGCTGCCACAAGGGGCGGAAGGTCTCAATTGTCCAGCCCAGGCCCGCTGAAGCTAGCTCGAAAGAAGCAGCGTTAGCATCTCAAAGTCGTGTGTGTGTGCTTTGTTGAAGGTGAAGAGATGACCTCACGCAGGCCGACTGTCACACCTGGACATGGCATTAATTGCTGGCTTTCCAAATTTTCCAATTGCAGCCACAGTCAAATTTTCCTGCTTGTAGGAGGTGGCTGTTATTTCAGGATTTCCCTGGTGTTATTTCCAGATAGATGGCAGTTGCTTGGGCAGCTGCTATAATTTTTCATTGTTTCCAAAGATCTTTTAACTGTCTTGATTCATAGCTGGCATAGTTCCTCTTCTTGGTATTCCCAGATAACTGGTGATTCATCTTCTAGGTATTTTCAGATAACTGATCAGAAGCTTTTCTCTTCTGTCTTTCACTAGTTGGTTCCACAGCCACTTCAGCATCATTCCAGACTTCCTCACCAGCAACAAAGTGTTTCAGTTGGGAGTCCGTTAGATTTTCAATTTCTGCTTGGGAGCTTTCAGGAGGGCCAGGGCCTTGAAAGCTATCTTTATTAGGTTTGGTCATTTCTTTCACTTTACAGTGTAAAGACTATTCGTGATTTTAGTGATTAGTTTCACAGTTAGGTGTACACCACACGTCTTTACAGCACAAGTGACCAATCGAAAACTCATCTCAAAGTCGAAGAGACGAAGTGACAAGGAGGGACAGGTGAAAAGAAACAGAAACTAAGACACTCGAAGAAAAGGTTGCTTACACGGGACGTCGGCCGCCCGCACGAGAGAGACAGAGAAGGGAAATGTAAGGAATCCTACCTTTAATGTAAGAAATCCTACCTACATAATAACTTGATGTAATGAATCCTACGGTCCTACCTACACAATAACTTAACCCCACAACTTAGACCTGCAGTCAGACACCGCGAGCTCAGCAGACAGACAGTCATGTTTATAGAGAAATAAACTTGACAAATTATTATTTTAAGTAAGTGCAAAAGCTAATACTTCAAAAATAAATTCACCGGTTTTTAGAGAGCTCAAATGACAGACGTGTTATCGCCGTTAACGCAACTGACTTTCTCGACCAGACTCACCAGAGGGGTGTGAAGATTCGTGTTAAGACTGTAGGATGAAAAAAAGGGCAAGAAAAATTCAAGAGGAAATTTATCTGATTTATTATTGCTATATACTACGTATTGCACTGTAGAGTTTAAATTCAGAATTAGATATGTTCATATTATTAGATGATATTATATATGGGGCCTCTAAGGACATAAAATATTGTTTTTCTTCTATTAAATTATTATGATAAAGTTATTCTTATTTTATTATTGCTTTCTTTCCCTAGCCTACACCCCTCCGGCCTTCATTCTCGACAACCTCCCACTCACTCTCCATTTGTCCTTTCCATTCCTTGCTTCCATACTCTAAATGCTCATCATATATGCACCCATACATTGGTAACTATTTCATCTTATATTTTAGCAGGCTGTACTTTATCCCCACTCCCTCTTTCCATTCTCTTAACTTACTACTTGCGTTTTAATCGCCTTAAAAATGGATGCATTCATTTCTGGACCTTATGTAACCGTGCACGAATGCTGCGACACCGGTTCAGGACAACTGATAACTAAAAGATTCGTGAAGGCTAACTATTGAAGAATTATTCGGACGATGTGTCGAGAACTTCGAGGGTGTGATCTAAAATAAATTTTTCCTGCAACCTGAAAAGGTTTATATTTATCGTTAGCCTTCATTGACTCTGTTCGTATTCGATTATTAGTGAGTGGAAATAATTGTTAGTCTGAAAACGAAATATGAGTTCCAGTAATAGCAAAAATTTGCGGCACAATATTTGAGGCCTGACTCTGAAATGTCGTTCTTCCCTTCAGAGTCACCACGCCCCATATCCAAATCCATATCCATATTAATTTATAATAAAAAATTGGGATTTATGCCAAATTTGAATCTCTTTCATTCTTTTTCGTTCATATACATTTCTACACACAATGCATAGTAAAAAAAAAACAATTATGATGGATTTGAGTTCTAATACACAAAGTCTCCCGCTAGCAATGAATAACAATATTTTCGAAACCTAATCGCTAAATGGGCTAAGATGCATGGTGATTATATAATAGTTCTAGTGAGATGGCCTGATCGTTGTACGTTTGAACAGTGATAGCTATTTGTTAGTTAAGAATGTCTGTGAATTTACCGCATGTGTGAAAAGACTTCGAAGTAAAACACCCGTATAAGAGGAGCCTGTAGTGTAAACCTTGCCAAAGGAGGTTTCTTTTATCCCATTATAACATAGTTGAATGGACATGTTATGTATAGAATTTCGATTTTGGTAAAATCTTTTTGGTTTAAATGATTTCGAACGACCAATCTATAAATGATCGATGGTTTGACATTTTTTCTGAAGACCCATGCTGTACGGTTTACTGATCTTTATTAAAATAATAAGTGATCAAAGAAGAATAAAAAAAATATTGTGTAATTCAAACTAGCGAATTGCATTACACAAAAACTACTTGTTCTGTTAGTTATAAATGTTAAAATAATTTACTTCCATAACCTCAAATTTCTTTCTCGTTTAATTTCTAAATGTTGTCGACCAAAACAATGGACCTGGGCTGATGTGGTCGAAAATGTATGCTCCGAATTGGGAGATGGTATACTTCCTCTTAAATTATTCGGGAGTAAGTTTTCCTCAGTTATCCCAACAATAATGTTTGTCTTCACTTTACATGCATCGATGTTCAAATATTCCATAATTAGAAATGTTCGATATAATTAATGATAAGTATGTAATAGCGCGTAAGTGTGAATGGGAACCATAGCAAGTATTCAACAGATCATATATATGGTTCGCGCCCTAACAAAATTCAAGGTATGCTTCAGCTTCCACCCCTGAGTCGCTATACTCGCGTTAGAGTTATTCTGGGTCAGTTGGCCAACTGATCGCAATCAGCGACTAGTCAGAATTCCTCCTTGTCGACTTTATAGTCGCCTGAGAGTAAGGCAAGAGTTGGCAGAATCCCCTCAGCCCCTCACCAGGCTCTGGTAGCTGCCTGATTCGGGGACCGGAATGTAGACCAAAAAGCGGACATAGAGAAGCTGATTTACGTTCGGTCCGAGTCCTAGGCGGTTCCTAATTCAGGCTCGCCACCAGCTAAAAATTTTGATAGTATCGTTAACGAGACAATCACAACGCGTTTTCGAGTGAGGTTTCTTCCTGCGCGATATTATAATCAGGATAGCTTTTAAAAAACATTTGCTCTTTCTTATTAATGCTTTTGCAAGAATATGGGCCAATCAAAATATATCTTCGTTGTTCAAACATTGAAGATAGCTCTGAGGATTACATGAGCTCCCAACGTCGCACTGGCGCTGACGGACCGTACCGAAGACACTCTCCTCGTGTATAGACTCTCAGCCGATAAAACTAAAGTCAACTCAACTAATCGACGCGACTAGTCGCTCCGTGTATAAGCACCTTATCCATCAGAGGGGACTTCTGACGGGTGTCTGTGCTCGTCAGAAATCCTAGAGGGTTTCGCGCTCCTAGATTTCAATTCGCGTGAGAAGTCCACCCTGAGGAGTAGTTAACTTGAATACACAAATTTGTTCCTGCGCACATCGCTGAGCTCGCGGTGTCTGAATGCAGGTCTCAGTTGCGGGACAGTAAAAGCTATTATGTAGGTAGGATACCTTATATTAAGTTATTATGTAGGTAGGATTCCTTATATTAAGTTATTATGTAGGTAGGATTCCTTACATTAAGTTATTATGTAGGTAGGATTCCTTACATTAAGTTATTATGTAGGTAGGATACCTTATATTAATTCCTTACATTAAGTTATTATGTAGGTAGGATTCATTACATTAAGTTATCATGTAGGTAGGATTTCTTACATTAAAGGTAGGATTCCTTACATTTCCCTTCTCTGTCTCTCTCGTGCGGGCGGCCGACGTCCCGTGTGAGCGACCTCTTCTTCGAGTGTCTTCTTTTCTGTTGCTTTTCTCCTGTCCCTCCTTGTCACTTGTCCCTCCTTATTACTTCGTATCTGTGCGATACTAAGTTTAAAAAACTTTCAATAAGTTAGACCGTCCACCTTGTTGGTGCTTTTCATCTTCATTTTCGGAGCGAGATAGTTAAATAGCTGAGGAGCTAATAAACTTATGTGTCAATATTAATTATACGTCGTCACTGGACTGTACCAGTATCACAATGTATTACAAATTTTCCATTGATATACTGCACAATAAGGCTATGAATTTTCGCCGCTGTTTCTCCAATTCTAGTCATAGTTTGATTTCATTCCACACGCTAAGTATGAACAATAAAATATTGATGTACATTCTTTAGAATCATCTCCAGGTTCTACAGGCACCCCTATATTCAAATCAGAGGTTAACACTGATATGCCGCAGCAGTTATCTGAAATTAAAGATGCTTCGCCGATCAATATAAGGAGCATAACTCCACACCTTCTTTGAGGGCCCCTATCTTGAAAAATACTTAAGATATTAAAATTAAGCTGAATCGTTGGCACTATTCTTTTTATCTAACATCTAACATAATGTCACTAGCACATATACTTACGATCGCACTGAAAGAGCATCTGGGAATCGATGCTTGACTACTGGAGACAAGCAATTATTTTTGGACAACTAAAAAAGAATCACGGTCGACAGATTCACGATAGATTAACTGCTGCTATGTCATTCTAAATTTTTTTGTACCCATCAGACATTATGTTTTGTTTGTTAAAATTTACAACATAAGCTTGTGTTCAACACTCAGAGCCTTAAGAGGAATCGCAGTTTATG